ATTTTGGAGTGCTGAAATTGAGCTGAGGAGGGAAAATGGGAAAGAATGGTTTGAAGGAAAGAAGAGAAGAGGTATTCAGTTATATTGAGTTTGGTTAAGGAACGAGCCTTGGGAGCCAAGGAATTTGATTGTGTCCCACTCCAAAATGCGCGTGGATCAAGCCGTAGATGGTTGACTTGGGGACCCTTATTTTATTCTTCCTATTAGTCTCCCGACACCATTTTAAATCACCACTATTATTAGGTTTAGCGATCTTCTTACTAGCTAAGGTTATCTTTTTGTTATTCTCGTATTCACTCGTATGGTGGCACGTACCTTGATTGAGTTGAGGTTTTTTAGTACAACAAATTGGGATATGAGACTTTGAACATTCGATTTCAAGAAAAAGAGTAGGTGTCAATTATCGTTTTTGACCGTTTGAATTGAGTTAAGTTGTTCTAAATAAATTTGTTTGGTTGCTAACCTTTTGAATTTATTTTGTGGAGTTGGCTCGACCGAGGACTATATTGTGCTATGTATATGTAAATGATGAGGCGAAAATAGTCTAAACAATTATTTTCTTTAAAATAATTAGGCATTCTTCTTTACCAAGGAAAAAAGGCGTTGAAAGTTGGGGACGACGGTTGACTAGTTCTCATTTGATACAGAGTTGGTTTAATAAGAGGGGAAATGCAAAGCAAATTTAGTTTTTTTTAATTATTATTAAATAGTATTTTCAGTTGATATATCAAAAATTGGTTGATATATCAAAAATTTTTAATAAGATATATATATATATATATATATATATATATATTTTAATTGTAAAACCACCAAACGAATATTCGCCTGTCATGTGCATCTTCTTTTAAAAACATGAAACTAAGATTAAAACTGTTTCCAAACCCATATTTGAAAGGAAAAAAAAATTAATCCATTTGCTTTGGTTTCTTTTTGAAATTTGAAAGGTAGAAATCTTAGAGAAAAAAAGATTCAGCTACTCAGTGAATATACTTATTTTTTAAAATTAAGTATTAGATATAAATTCATTATCATAAAATCATTTATGGATCCGTAGCACTAACTCAAATCTAACATGTTTGAAGTGATTTTGAAATAGCTAAAAATTACTTTTGTTATGGTATATAAAATCATTTTCATTTACAATAGTAATGTATGTCAGTGATATACAAATAATTTTTAAAAATGGCACAACTATACTCAAACGTGCCCTCCAGTTAGTATATTAAAGAGGAAGGAAAAAAGAAAAAGAAAAAAGAGTGGTCCTCAGTCATTTTCATCCCAAAAAGGAAAAAAAAACAATTCTTGCACTTTCATGAGCTATTCTCTTAGGGTTTCCTTGCTAACTTTACCGATTCTTGTTTCTATTTCTCCTTTTTAATAAAGAAAAATAGAATTGCATGACCCTACCGATGCAAAAATGATGAAACAGAAAAAAAACAAGCTTGTTTTTAGTATTTCGAAATTTCTAAATAGTGATCGAATGCTTAGATTTCTTCATAAAGTTAAAAACAAAAAACGGAAACGTTACTAAAAACCCTCGGTATCCAGTATTTCTGGTTCCATGAGATGCATCACAAAGCAAAACAAACTCAATTGAACAGTCTTCACCAGCTTTGAAAGTTGACATAATTCTTTCTTCTAAATAACATAACTCATACATACAAAGCAATTGAAGAACAACACTATTTTCTTATTAAAAAAAAAAAGAATACTATTTTTGGACCTTGTAAAGTTTATACAGTTTGACCTATTGCTAGATATACATATATGTACTAAAGAATATCGGCTGTAATACATCAATAAATTCCTCCTTGAGACACAGAGGGATTACATCCGATCTGCTAATTGAGGGAATTGTTCCAGAAGCCAAGTTACACCTTTAATGGCTGTCTGCATTGTAAGAAAATGGACTACATTATGACAAGCATAAAATCTCAGCAAGTAGCTTCTAAACGGGGGGAAAAGAAAAATCTGATTTTATCCATCCCATTTCCCATCCAATGAATATTTGTACTGTGAATTATCCAGATCCATGTGATGTAAAAGTTGAGTGAGGTAGCAACTAGAGCTTCAGGCGCAGCCGCGCAGATGATTACAATAAGCAAAAAAAAAAAAAAACTACTTCAAATTTATGTTTTATCTACTCACAAAATTGCAGACCAAGATAAAATGGAGCAGAAGAGAATTGATCAAATCAAAGTAAAACACGAACACAGATTGTTACATGCGGTTTGTCTATTTTTTGCATTTGAAATTCTAGAGGGGTCATCTGATAGAAGGAATTATATGGGACCATGGCATTAGACATTACTCTAGTCTATTTGGCTTTAGATGAAAGAGGCATTAGCAAGATGAAAATTTCAAGAAACTGACGGATATCTTTGGATATTTCCCATGAGAATCAGAATGAACTCTAGTTAAACCATCTGAGATACAGAATCAATTGACAAAAACATTATAATCTTGGTAACTATAACTACTCTGTATCTTCAAAAATGAAATCTGTGGATATTTCCCATGATTTTGTGGCAGTTATGATGCTAATAATCGAAAACCATAAACAAACTCCCTTTACCAATTCATGAGGTTAAACACCCTTTCATATCAACCCCCCCACCCCCCCAACCGAGCTAAGGCTTGCTTCTATGACCGAGACAGCTGAACATCTCAAATACTATGGATCCTAAAACCTACTAAACATTGCACTTCAAGAGAAACAGGCCATTACTTCCGGTGACATAGTTGACAATTTCTGTTTATGACAAAAAGAGTTCACAAGGATCATACTCCAACAATATTTTGTCCCAATCATCCCAAAAAATATTAAAGAAATCATTCTCAAAGTCTTAAATATTAAATTGGCTTCCTTAAAGATAATAACAATCTACCAAATATGACTATAGTAAAGAAAGCGAACATTACATACCAAAGCCATCTCCCCTGGCTTGATTGCAGGCTCAACACTATCTCGACCGTAGCTGTTAATTGAGACAAGGCCAGTAAAGAACTAAGTCAGTAGGCCATGTTAAAGCTTCATTCTTGTGAGCTCAACACTGTCCCCTGCAACTAAGTCTAAGTTACTTCCTCCCAACGAGGTAAGGAAGAAAAGAGAATATTACTTACATTATTTGTCTATTGCCATCAGCAATAACCAAGCGATAAAAGCTGCATCCCTTGCTGAAAGGAAACTCTTTCCCTTTCCATTCTGTAGTTAATTCCAACAACTATCACTGCCAAGCTAGACATTCCAGATAAAAAGGGCAAAAAGAAATGCAGTAAAACTCAATGTAACATAGGAAAAACGCAAAAGAGATATCTTTGCCCTCTTCTTCTAATTTCAACTGTATCTTAAAAGATTTACGAAAAATACAGAAAAAAATTTGCTACCTAAATGCCAAAGGACGCCCACTGCTGATGAGTCTTCGGTGGATATATCGTCGATAACAAACTGTAGATCCTTGCTGATGGAATCGTTGAACTTTTTGAAAAAAAGTAGAATGTCCTGCATCAATTGGACACAAAATTGGATAAACATACGAGAAACACATGTGCCGCAGCCATGACCGTGAGATTAAATTATGGAGCAGGGGAATTGAAAAAGGCGTAAGTACCTCGCGACCGACGAAAGGACGAGAGAAGATAAGGTCCTCATAAACACAGTTGTCAGCAATGAGGTGGTGGACGGAGGTGAGGTCACGGCGGTTGATTCCGCCGTAGAAGTCCCTCACGACATCAGAAGCAGATCGGAGTGCGTCAAGAGGAGCATTGGTGGTCGGAGATGAAACGGCGACAAGCGGATTATCTGAAGAAGAAGAGCAGAGACGAAGCGAGGAATACGGTGTTCTCGTAGGTATTCGAGAAGCAGTAAAAAAAGAGCATGGAGGAGCAGAAATCTTAGGGTTTAAAAAAATGGCAGCGGATTTGGATGGAGGAGATAAGACGGAGTTCATCGCCGCCGAAATCAAATCAAATCCAATCTCCTCACCTCAAAATGCTTCCACTCATCGATTCCCCAAAACTTGTAATGTGGTTCATTCAATTCAATTCTCATTTCTTTTTCGGCTTTCGGCTTCTATGGATAATTTATGGATTAAAATATAATTGGTTCTGACTTCTGAGACATTTTTGGTCCAAAGCAATTATTTTTATTTACATGTTAATGAACTTGTGTTTTTAGTTTGACTCATTGTTTTGCTATCTACTTGTAGAGTTGTGAATTTTTTGCTAGTGTACAGATATTGGTGAGGTTTAACTAAATTCTAGAGGATCAAAATTGGAATGTTTAAAATCATATAGAGACAAACCGAAACTTCACTCAAAATACTAAATTAATTGAAACTAATAGCTGTCGATTATAAGAACCAAATGGAACAAAAAGTAAAGTTAATTGAAGTCTTACTTGATGTTTATTTCTAGATCAGCAGAGAATGACAACTTGTTTGAATTGAGCACTGTTTATAATACTAACCCTAATCACCATGATTATTTGTCATAGTTAGATTTAAGATCTTCTCAACATGGTATGCATCAGTTCTGCTCTATTACAACAATTTTGTAAGCTTTAGGAGAGTAATTACTCAAACTGAAATGATTTGATTGCAACAATCTTATAAATTTAGGAGGGTAAAATATTCAAATCGAAAGTTTGAAGTTTGAAGTTTGAAGTTGGAAGGTAAAAACACTAGTTTGCAATTTCTATAACACACCATTCTACAACATTTTTGCATGAAAGGGACAAATTGTAACAAAAACTAAAACTTTTATACACAAGATTAAAAAAGATGAATAATAAGAGCTAGAAAACACCTGAATGCCCTCACAAAGGAGTACTCACCACTAAATATGTTTATATTTACTTGTCAAGCTTCAACGAAAATGGTTTTATCTATAGAAGTTGACACAGCCAAACTTCTTCACGTATCAGTCGGAGCCTTTGGAGTAATGTTATTATACACATCACAGGATCCTAACCTTGCAAATCTTCCAACTATGGACGATCTGGAGGGGTAATAAGTGCCTCCCTGCTCTCTTCATCGACTTTCTGAGACACAACCGGTTTCTTCCCAGGATATAGCACGTAATGTTGAAGCATGAAAAGAAGATCAAAGAATATACTTATCTGCAAATATGTGAAATAACAACAAGGCATCATAAATATCAGGCAAATCATTTAACTTTGATGGATTCATGATATCAAGTAACAGAACTTTCCCTACTAATTTTCCAACGTTTAGAAATGGTCTCAAGTACATTGTTAAACAAAATTTCAGGCTCGATGAATCTATCGTTATCCACATTTTCGAGTCAACAAAAAATTTGGACAAATTAGAGTAAGCAGTAATATGATAGATGTTCAAAGTCCACGAAAAAGAAGAAACAGTAAGCATTCTTTCATTAAACCTTTATCATAGAACTAAAAGAAGAATTCATACCAAAGAGAGCAATGTCTTGCCAATGTTGCCATAAAAGTTTACCCACGAATCTGGAAGGAAATAAAAGTTCAATTTATATAATGCAGGCCAAAAAAATTTTATACGCTACAGTCAAATTGGAAAGGACAGGGATAGCATACTTTGATCTACGGACTGCACTGCCATCTGTGCATAATTTGCCACCCCTCCCAGAAAGTCGAGTAGTATATTGCCAATGCTGAATCCATCGGTGCTCTTCCGCAAAAAGTTCATGATTGCCTTTGTAATGCGTTATTATAGTTAATAAGCATCAAAATGTAGCAAATTTCCATTACAATTTCAACTGAAATAATACAATTACTTGAACAAAAGATAACAGGTCCAGGCGAGATAATTTATTTATCCCATTTATGTAAAATAACATGTTTATAATCAAGTAAAAGCTGACTTTCTACCATTAATCTATTGCACTAATTTCCATTTTCTGCTTTGAACAGACCCAAAAATGGTTAACAGTCACAAAGGGGCAAAGCCAATGCCTTGGATGGAATAATCAACATAATTTGGTCATATGGATCTTGGTGCAGAAGTAGACTGATCATCAAGATCTCTTTTGATAATAGAATTTAAATAAGCAATAAATTCTCACCTGAGGTATGTATTTAATAGCCGTCATAAATACTTGAATTGAGCTGCCAAAATTAAGGATCTCAAGGTTAAAAGGCAATTTGGACTTGGGATGCTATACAATGAAGCCACAGATTGAACGACACAAAAAAAAAAAAAGGTAAGACTGGAACACTCAGTAATATTACCAATAACAAGATGAAAAGATGATCCTGAAATTAAGAAGAACTGTATACGGTAGTCGATACCCCAAATTCAGACAATTTAATGTGTTAACCCCACACTATTATGTTTCACATACTTGCAAAGAAACTAATAGGTTGTACAAATTGGGTGGGTGTTGGGGTGTTCAGAACTAAAAAAACCTGTCACATACTTCCAGGTCAAGTTATCATTTATGCTTTTTTTTTTTTTGGGACTAGAAGAAACGATTTCAAAACATCAAAAGGTATATAATGTACGTGGGAGGATAAGACACTCCCAACAAAGACCTAAGGAAGTCACAAAGAGCTCTCTAATTGGCTTGAATAAGCTGCCTGTCAGTTAAATGCCTTAACCTGCAAGTTTGACAGATATTTAACTAACTCGCAATTTTTTTTTCAATACGCCCAGGATAGAGTTCAAAAAGATAGCCCCCAATTAGCTATCTCGCATCAAGTATGATCAAGTTGTGGAGTAGGTGGGGAAATGCTCGATCATTTCTTCATCCATAGTAAGTTGGCAGAAATTTCTTCGTGAGAAATTTATGCTAGCTTGATGTTGCCTCAAGGATATTAGGTTTCACTTCCTGAGGTTCTTTCTAGTAGATGGATAAATTGTAAGGCTAAAGTCCCATGCTTTCCTAGAAACCTATAGCTAAGGAAATGATGATCTCAGTTTCCATAGTTGTTGATGCAAAGGGCACCAATGTGGGAAGGGCACATGTCTTTTTGAGCTCTGTCTAGGATATTGATTTTTCCATCAAAAAAGAGTTTAAATGAAGAATCTCTATTTTTAGGGAGCTATTTTGCAGCAAAGAAATTCAATTTTACTCAAGTACTAAGACAAACACCAATCAGGTTTTTGAAATATTTGTGGTAGCTTTCCCCATCCTCCTCTCACACTCACACACTGGTTATGTTATTTCTCACTGCATAACTATCTATAACATGTATTTGCAATTTTCCACACTGCCCAACGTCTTCCTTCCTGAATAGGTATAAGTAACCCAGGCTTATCACTGTAGTACCAACATTATTATGGATTAAGTGGAGAAAAGAGACAACATAGAAGCCCCTTACTTGAATATGGAAATTAGCCAGAGCCAGGAATGGTTGGACAGACCAATGAAGAAACAAATTGCTGCAAAAAGCCATACGACAGTCACAATTGTCAAAGATATTTTGGAAACTATCTGAGTTCCACGCTGCAAAAGTAAAAATAATCCACATATGTTACTAAAACCATATTTAAATAACTCAGAGGGCAAATATAAATTTAGAGAAGAATCCCAAACTGCTTACATCATAGATTACAATTTGGAACAAGGTGATTGCCGTCAATAGAACAGCGTGTACTGAGAAAGCAACATCATTTGCAGCGACAGGTATCATCTGAGAGACCCATGAAAATCAACGACATCAGCAGAAATACAAAGGTGGAAGGATCCAAAAACCCAATATCTTTTTTGTATTTCTTGGCTGAAGAAAATTGACCCATTGAAGTTGAATGCCGACAGGCCACARTTACTATACTAATAGGTAAAAAGAAACTATAAAAAGAATTACAGAATCAAACAAGTTCCAGATTGAGTTGGGAACACAATAATGTCGAAACACTTCCATCTAACGGGTGAACATGGTAAAAACGTATACACCACAAAATCACACTTAAATAGCTGGACATTGAGTTCAAACTTCTACCTCCAAATTCTTATTGGCATAAACATGTTTGTAATTTTTAATTCCAACAGAAAAAAGTTATTCTAAAGCGGCCATAAACACGAGATACATTAGCTGCAAGCAACAACTAATCCCAATCCCGACCCAAAACATGAAAGAACAAGAACACAAAAAGAAAAGTTCACATCCTAAAATTTGAACGAGAATACAAGATGGCAAAGCAAAGAAAGCAAAGTCAAGGGCATACCTGATCGTAACCATACTTCTCGAAGTACTGTTTCTGAACAGCGGAGCTGAAGTAAAGCGTGGCGTTGTATATCAAATACGTTGAGTGCTTGGTCAAATTTAACAGCACGAAATCGAGGTTCAGACCCACGACACTACACAAACACAAAATTCAATGACAAATGAAGAAGAAGAAGAGGCATCGAATAAAGGAATGAAAGGGAAATGAAACAAAAGGCGAGGGTACCTTTTTCTGCGGAAATTTAAGATGACCTGAGGGTAGAAACTGATGGACCAGGAAAGGAAGGCGAACCATCCCAGAGCTTCGTAGGTGATCTGAAGCGGAATCGAATTCCACGACGCCATTTCTCTCCGTTTCCTTGTTCAACCAGAATATCGTTGGAGCCTGAAAATCGTTTCGGTTACCGGCACCGGCGAATGAAGGAGATTTGCCCTTGTAATATTTTACTTGTTTGATACTCAACTTCTTTTCTCTGCCACAAACTTTGGTACTCCCACTTATAAATCATATAACTTTTCCGGATAAAAATTACTTATAAATCATATGAAATGAAATACATAATTTCATAAATTTATTTTACAAATTACTTTTTATATTTTATAAATTAAATAGTGTGGATATAATGTAAGGCGAAAAATTATAAGTATATAGTATACTAATGTTAGAGAGAGGAAATTGAATGGAGACGCGCAGAGGGTCACATTCATTGATAGAGGTGAAATATGATATTTTCTTTCAAATTTAATAAGCTGCACAAAAAATAAAAAATAAAAAAAATTCATAGGTTTGCGCACCTTATCCTTATTTTACTTTATTGTTTTTGGGCAATAAAATCAAACTGATTTTAATCAAGATATTTTTTTTCAACTGTTTTTTAAGGATAATATTTTTCAACTCACAACCATATTCTACAAGTCCCGAAAATAAAACATTTTTCAATGCACATGTCAAAGATTGATCATGCATGATATCCACAATCTAGTCTACATTCATTCAACTTTTCTGCCTTCATGTTGCAACATAACTTCAAATTCAGTTCCTATATTTTAAAAAGTGTAAAATAAAACTGAACTTTCAACTTCGTATTAGATAGATCAATGTCATTAACTTCATCAAATTCTATTAGTTTAATGCTATGTAGCATGTTGATTGTATGATTTAGAAATGGTGTGGTTATAACATATTGAATGAATGAATTCAATTGAGTTTAAAATTAACGTGGGTTTTAGGGTAAATTTTAAAATTTTTGGGAAGAGAAATTGGTGACCAAAATTGGGGTTTATTTAGGGCATATTTCCGAAAGCTTAGGAGTAGCTAATGGGTAAAGGACATTGGGTGAGTTTTAGGGCAAATTTTTTAAAAAGTAAATAGAAAAATAGAGAAGATGGGAAATCCAACTGAGCAAAACTTATTAGATTAATTTAAAAAATTTAATAACTTATTATTTTTTTTCTTTTTTGAACAATTTAAGAATATGAGATCACAAGGTTAATAATTTATTAGACACAATAGAATCTTTTTGTTTATGTATTTATCTCGTGCAGCAAATTTCAAACAAATTATAACTATATAATCTTTTAAATAGTACACAAGAAAAGAATGGAAAATACAAACAAAACGATGAAAAGCCCAATTCATTAAACGCAAAATACAAGCAAAGTTAAGAATACAAGCAAGTTTCAAATTTCAACAAATGGTCTGTAAACGCGAAATCTTCAAGACGAAGAAGACGCCATTGATCCAACTTAAAGCAGAATCGAAGCAAAGCACGACAGAGCCAACTGAGCAGAGACAAATTTGAGAAACCCTAGCGAAGAAATTCGAGCCCTTGCACTCGCAGCAGAGGATTTCTGAGAAGGGTTCGAGGAAGAATCGTCTTCGGTCAGGACCTTCACGATCATCCTCTGCCCTCTTTGGCAGTGCCCATTGGCGCCGCTGATGAAGTAGAAAGTCCCCGACCGCCCCAAATTGAACACCGTGTTGCCGGTGTTCGAGAAGAAGCTCGGCTGTGTGGAGTTGCACCTTTTGTATTCTTCTTCTGTTACTTCCATCACGGAATCCTTCTTGTACCGGAAACCTAATCCAACACAAACAAACAGAGATTTCGTTAGTGTAAAAGGGGATGGTGTTGTTGAGATCATCGGCACTTACGGACGGTGTCGCCGCCTCGGAACCTGTTTTCTGAGGCCCAATCGTTGTAGATTTTGCTGTCGTTGGCCGGCGGCACCACCCACCCCCGGGCGCCACCGACTTGGAACTCAAAGGAAGCCACGGCGGAGAAGGAGATGACCAGGAGGAGCAGAATGACGAAGGGATTCATGGAGTTTGAAGCCATGGGCGGAAGCTATGAGAAGGAATCGGAAATTTGAGAGAATGGAACTGTAAGTGATGACTTGAGGAGATTTATAGCGGCGAAAATGGGAGTTAGGGGAAGTTTAAACGTGGATAGAGATGGAGAAAGTGGGCAGTTTTTGTTTTTATTTTGTTCATCCATGGCACGATGGCTGCAATTTCGGGTAATGGGCAAAACGAATTGCTCTGGTTCTTCTTTCTGGTTTTGCTTTGATTTCTCACGAACTATTTTGCTTTCTGATTTTATTCGACACTTTCTGTAAAAATTTCCATGGTTTCTGGGCCAAAAGTCTTGGATCATCTCCTTATTCAGATTTATATTTGTTCTCAAATGAATATGTGGTAGATCGACTGATTGAAATAAGCAACCCATACAAAGAATTTAATGTTCATAATGGCACTTTATAAAGAAAAAGATAATGGCTAAATAACATTCATAATATAATACAGCTTCCAATTGTTAATCTTCAAGAACAGAGTTAAGATTCCAAAGACGCTCATGAACACTTGAGAACAGAAAGAGCTATTTTGGTGTGATTTCCACATCTCTTTCAACTACATTTGGTTCTTGATCAGTCTCATCATTTCCTGTTTTGTTTTTAAAAGATATTTGGTTTAGAAACCTCCCAATGGCACTCTGTGAGTGCGAAATTTTCCTTCTACTTGATCTGGTTCTATCATTCTTCTTGGCAAGATCTTCAAACACGGCATCGACAAGATTGCTGAACCGACGTTTGAATGTTGGATACCTCGAGATCGATCTGGTGATTCCTCGAAGCCTTCATGGTTGGAAAGAAAACAAACCTTGAATTGATTAACATTACCATGGATAATGAAGCAAGTTTTTGCAAGTACGTACCTTCGAGCCAACGCCTTGAGCTCGGCGATCTTGCATTTGGATTCAGGTGGGAAGCTGATGTCTGAATTTTTTAATCTGATGGGATCATCACCCAACAGAACTAATCTTGAGAGGTAGTCCTCTTCCTCAGTGAGATTTATTACTTTGATTTGCTCCTTGATTATCAGAAGAGGGTTCAGAAACCAATCAAATAACATGTCTTGTGGTCTGTTTGTGCTAGTAATCTCTGTAACGTTGTCACCTGAATCAACCGAAACCCGAAAAAATTTGAAAACTTTTCGTATGCTCAAAGTCACCAAATCAGGAGAGAGATGAAACTCACTCAGAATTAATCCGACTGAATCAGCTTTTGCTGAACGAAGGATCATTTGAAGAATACAGTAAGCAGGTAAGCCAATGATAAGAACTGTGGTGTCTTTCGATTTCGCAGCTTCAATATCTTCAAGCGTTATTAGTCCCTTGGAAACCATAATTTCCCCTTGCCGCTTACACTCCTTCGAAAGGCGATCGAGAAGCTACAGGGGAGGAGCCCAAAATTTTCTTTCAGTTATAGAACTTATGAGCTAAAGTAATACAATTTTCATAATGAACACAGAGTACCTCCAAAGGTTTCAGCTCAAGCATGAGATTCTTGTACAAATCTTTAAGAGATGGAAATCTTCTAACAGATTGTGATTCTTGTAACTTAGCCGGTGGTTGCGTATCCTTCTTCCGATAAATTGGTCTTTTGGAATTGAAAAAACGGGGAAATAATAATATTATGTCCAGGTGCACTTCTGCAGTTACAGAAATGGTTTTCTGAGGGTGAGAAAATACCTAGGAATGCAGGAGCCATTGGCCATGTCTAGGACGTCATTGGTGTATTCGTCGTAAATGGAGATTGATGCCAGAATATAGCAGAGCCCCAACCAAAAAGAGGATTCCTGCAATTGAAACAACAGAAGTTAATAACTGTTGCAGTGATTGAATCAAATGTAATGAGCCGAGAGAAGAGTGGCTGATTGGTTATGTTGGAACAAGTCATGCTCATGCTGGTCACTACATTAAGAAACGATGTCGAACCTGATAAACGATCACTCCTGCATAAGCACCAAGAAAAATGCTGGAGATAATAGAGCCCACAAATGCACCCACAACAGCTAATGGCCAGAGTAAGATAGCAAGCGCAGCAAATGGAACACATATTGTCTCCGAGAACGGGCCTTCACGGCTGATAAGATCGTGGAATAAACGACGCCACCCCTTGAACAGCATAAACGGACATTTATACAGGGCGATCAGTAAGATGACTGGTGTATCGATCACAGAACCAAGAATTCCAACTATGGAAGCTCCAAGGAAATCAAGCAATCTGCAGGAAACTAACAAGAAGGGTCAAGTTAAATGATGGATGCTTGTTACTTTTTGAGAAGAATGCGGCATACAGTAATTTAGAAAGCCTTATATACTCCAGAAGCAGCAGTATTGTTTGTCAATAGTTCATCAGATGGACATAACATAACAAGATGATCAGACATTTCAAATCGTGACTTTATCGCTGCTGTTATAAACAAATCGAGAATCTGAATCACAGTTACGAAAAGACAACGACGAACCTGATATCATAATATCCTCCATCTCCTTTTTGTAGCAGTTCTTCCGTAGCAGAGAAGAACGAATGCAAACAGACATCACAAAAATCCCCGACAACCAAGAAGGATCCTTTTATGGTACTCCAAGTTCCATCCTGAAATTCATTGTAGAAGAGAGATCAAATTGTAGCCAAAGGTAACAAAGAAACCAGAAACACAACAAGAAGAACAGTGTAAAAGAAAGCTAGTTTGAGCAAAGATACGTACATACATACAGTGGAATACTCTATCAGGCTTTTCTTCTCTAGCAGCATCAAATGTAGCCAATATTGGCGAAAGAAAGCCGTAGACCGCTCCTCCTATGGTGCTTACAAGAGCGCCAAATTCGGGCCACAAAACCAGTAGAACAGGCAGTACAAAAAGGCATAGAATGAACTTGAGGCCCCAACCAAGTTGTTCAGCTCTGCGAATAAGGGAACTATAATATCAGAAATATAATGTCCATTTTGACTATGGGAATGCAAAGCAAAGGTTTGAAGATAAGACCTTAGAATGCAGTAATATGTCCAGAGAGTTTGGATTGGCCAAAGAACCACTATTACAGTAGAATTTGCCATTGTCATGATAAGGCTTGTCAATGGGGAGAAAACCATACCTGAAACATTATGGCATTAGAATTGGGAGTCAGCTGTTGATAAGCCTCAATCATGTAATAATCATCTAAATCATATCACATACAGTTCAAAAGCAAATGGGTGAGTTTCATAGCATGAGAATAAGAACAAGAAATAGCAAAAAGAAGGAAGCAATTGAAGCTCGCCTTTGGTAATGCCGAGGAGAAAAAGCACAGTGAAGCCAGGCAGATCGCGGATGAAGTTCCACCAAGAAGGCAGAGCTCTATTTGGAGCTTCCATGTCTTCTCTCTTAGCCAACTCCTCAATCCCCACAGAAATCTCCAAATCCCTGCCCTCCATTGAAGAATGCCCAGAAACCTTCCCTTAAACCCAAACTACGATTCTTCCGCCATCGCAAGCATTTAAAGGAAAATAAACGGAAACGAAAGGGCAGCAGCAAAATGAAGAAGAAAGAAAGGAAGTCTCCAGCAGCATTGAACAGAATCCTCTGTTTCAGAAACCAAATCACGTGAAGCCCCATTGAAGAAGACCTAGTTTGGTGATGAGTGATTAGACATGGGTTTTAAGAGCAGAATTTCAGAAATATCCAGAACGACGATGGGAACCATCGAGGTCGACAGTGGCCATGGAAGCAACTGTTCAAGATCACGATCGAGCTGGAATGGAATCTGGAAGGGATCGCGAGCACGTAGCTACAGTGCAGTGGTTTTAGCAAGGGATCAAATCAATTCAATGCTAACAAGTGCTCACCGAATTAGCTGTTTGTTTTTCTAACAAGTAACAATTTGAATTCAAACATCCAAGTATAAATAAGCAGAAAGAAAACCCATCTTTGTGAATAGTTCAAACAGCTGAAAAAATAAAATCATTTACATTTCTGTAAACCCCATAACTATTGAGTTCAACAATATTGGTGGGTGTTGAATGCTTTGGTTTTAAATCTCATTTTTTGTTCTTCAATTTCCATAAAATAATAATCTTTTTCCTTTATTTTGCCATCAATTTCTAACAATGAATGACATGACGAGTTATAGAACTTAGTTAATGCAAAAATTAGGTGAGGACAGGGAATGAATAATAATTGTCTTTTAGTTTAAGAATCAAAATAGACTTCTTGAAGTTTACGTAATCAAATGAGATAAATCTTTAAGTTTAAGAATTAGAATGAGATTTAAATCAATATTATTAAGATATAGAGTTTATTTATTTATTTATTTTTTTGGATATCGTTAAGATGTAGAGTTAGTAATATGTTGTTGTAACAAGTGATATCAATTATACTTAGACTTAACTACATTAATAGAAATTTTAGATGCTAAAACGAGGAAATATTCAGAGATTCTCAAATACAGAACAAATATTGTAAGCTCTGGTTTTCTCTTAGCAATAGGGTCAATGTTTAGAGTTTTATCAACCCCTCACGATTTTTAAAGTCGACGGATTTAAGTGATATGTTGTGATAATAAGATTTTTTTGAGGGGACTCAAATATTTTTATTCAAGAGGATGATTGTTGATGTGGTGTAATAAGAAGTAGATGATATCGTATTAAAAATGACGTGGGGTTCTTCGATATTAAGAAAAAAATTCAAAATATAAAATCATTATGTGAACAAAGGGAGTTATGATACTCTCATAATACAGGAGTTTTTCTCCCATTCATGTAAGATATGCCAATGCTACATGTGCAATATGGCTTTATAGGGGTTGCACACGTGTCAAAAATGATTTGTCCACAATGCCACACATCGAAAGTTTTTCTAATACTACAAAGTACGTATCCTTTCTCTTCATATTTTGACACTTTATTAAGTAATGTATTATTTTATTTCATTAGTCCACACCAAATTTTAAATGATGTTGAGTTGGCAAACAATAAATGGGAGTAGTATAAAAAAATTATCATCCCACCACACCATCTAATATGTCAGCAAAATGTGACTGTTGTGGTATGCCACATTAGCTATTACATTATCTTGGATGCCATGTGTCAGACTCTAGTATGTCTATTTGCCCACGTCATCAAGCCATGTATGATTTCTGCATTCAACTTTCTTTTCATTTCGACTGTGATTCAAAAGTTGGATTCATCTTCTTGAGTTTTAAATTGTAGATATATACTTTGAAATACTAAAATTACAATATAAATATAGTTTGTTATTGTTCACACGAAATTTTCAGAGAAATTATATTTCGTGGAGTTGAACTTTTATATTTGTAGTATGTGTTGTATAATGGATTCAATCTCTAATATTTATCCTCTTATTCCTTCTGTCGAGGAGAGTGTTCAATTTTGTATGAATTACTTCAATTATGAAATTCTAAACTTTGAAAATGGATGAGGTCCCTATTTATAGAGGTTTCCATAGGTTTTGGTAAGTCATTGAGCTTGGATACTTTTGGACCAAGCCCAATTCTTTAAATGAATTTATTTAAATTTAAATATTAATTCACGTAAATTGGGTTTTGGGTAAAGTTTGTGAACCTAATCGATTCCAAACCTAATACTCATATAATCCAATTACATATTTTAATTGTCAAATTATCTTTAATTTTAATTTAGGGTTAATATATAATTAATCCCTAAATAAAATAAATAATGACATCACCGTTTATGCCAAAGCGAGCAGCTAAGCGGTAATTGGCATATACCTCCAACCATGAGGTTTCTTCAAATCATCCAAATATTTTACGTAGATGACAAATGAGTGCTGAGCCTAATCTGATTGACATATTTTATGGGCCTTTTATTGTCAGATGGTCTTGTAAATTGGGCTATTTTGCTTCTTCAGCCCTTTTTAGATAGTATTTAGGTGACAAGCTTAACTACTTTAATTATCTGACCTATTATATTAGTTTTGACTATTTAAAGGGTTGATTAAACAGTTTTTGAAATAATACAATTTCTACAAATTTCATATTACCCTCGTAGATTAATATCGTTTATTTAAATGGAGGCCTAAACAAATTCAAATGAGAATTTTATAGATACTACTCTCATTCATTGTCAGTCGTGTCATTCTCATTTTAAAATGACATGATCTCCAACAACATAAAATAATTATTTTTTTTCAAGAAAATACCATGGTGTTAACAAATGGAAAATTCTCCCTCAACCTTAATTCGAACAAAAACAAATATTAGTATTACACCAATAATGATTGGTATGGACTATCATTCTCTTTAAAATTTGAAAAACCTCAATTTTTTAGGTCTAACATCTATATAATTAAATCTTGCCAGTATGACAGAAAAATATATTTAGTGTCATCCCAATAAAATTAAAATAGATATCCAAGCTAGCAAGGATTAATAACAGATCTATTACGAAACATCCATGATGGAACAACAGCCATTCAGATTGGGCCGTAGAAACCAAGAAAAGATTACACCATCAATTAAATAATCAAATGCCAACCATTATACAAGAGAAGATTTTGTGGGGAATCAAACAAGAAGCAAATCCTGTGGGGATATTGCGTAAAATGGATCCTTGTTTAATTTCTTCTGCTTCCATTTTGCAATTTGAATCATTATTCATTATATATATATTTCTCTATTTTCTGTGTGTTCTTTGGGTTTTTATTACCCACGTGCTCTCTCTTTGCAAACTTCTTCAATTATGTTCAATGTTCATGTTTCAGAATCTTGTTTTGTTTTGTCAAATATTTTGTTCTCTCCCACATATATTCTTAGGTATCTGCAGATTTTTGTCTCTCTATTAATGGTTTAATTATTACTTCCTCTCAACCTTACACTCATTTGAGCTCCTTTATTATATTTATGTATATGTGTTAGTTAAACCTTTTGATGCTTAAAGAAAACCTAATTACGGTGTTGGTTGATTCAACGTTTTTTTCTTAAGTTGGTTGGTAGATTTTTGTAAAAATAGTACAAATTTTAGAAAAATAATGTTATGCTTTTTCACCCAACAACCCCTTCTTTTGTGATTAAGTATAGTTGATGTGGTTAGGATATATGTTGAGATATTTATAACTTATCCAATCCATCCGCTAAAGTTTTAGGTTTATTGGTGGTTTATTTATGTTTAATAGTATAGATCGTCCTTGAAGGTTCAAATCTCCACATGCACATGTATTGAGATTATGGAGTCAAATCGACATCGGAATGAATCGGACAATAGAAGAATTGAAGAAAGGATGAAAAATGATTTTGGGTGCTGTAGGAGCCAAGAGGGTCGAGAGGACAGCATCTCGACGCTACGACAATTGAAAAAGAAAAAAAAAAGCAGGTGCATATGTGTGCCTTGAGATGCCAAGGGTAGCGCCTCAACGCTACAGTGGTTTATAAAAAGAAAGTTCTTTTCGTTTTAGGTTTTAGGTCTCTTAATGTATGTTATTGCATACATCAAGGTCGGTCGTGAACAGCAATTGTTTGGCAAAGTTTCAGAGACGAAATAATATTATTGTGTCATTTACTGTGTTTTCCATATATTTCTCTTATTACGTGATTGATTTAGTTTTCGAACGGTAGAAGGAAAAATTATTATTGGTAAGTAATTTTCCAAACAACACGTTGAATTCAAGAATGAAAAAAAAAAAAAAAAAACCCTCTTGCCTTACCTTTCATCTCTATTTTCTCTCTAATTCCATATCTTCATCTATCTCTCTATCTTCCTTATTATTATGTTGGTGACATTTCTTTTTTTTTTCTCTCTCTCTCTCATATATGGACATATACACGAGCAATTTTAATTTATTACAAGCTCATGGATTCAATAAATTCTTACCCAATAACCACGCCCGCGGAATATATAGAAAACATTAAACTATATGTGTGTGTATATATATATCCCTCCATAAAGTTTTCCTACATGTAACTCTCTCATACTTAGTATGAAAACTATATTGAAACAAAAAAATATACATATTTAATGTTTATAATTAAAATAAATAAATATATAATGTAATTGAAGTTGTGTTTTCAAAAAAAAAAAAGAAAATATATATATATATATATATATATATATATATAATGTAATGATTATTGTACCGTTGATAAAGAAATCATCATATTATTCAACATATTCCATTGAATATGTCTTTTTTTTTATTAAAAAAAGAATTGAAAACTGATAAACCATACTAAAAACTAAATAAGTTGTGATTATAGAGCTTTGCAGTTGTATTTTTAGAAAACTTGCATTTATTAATCTCAATATATAGTTCATATGCAAAGAAATTGTATTCTTTTTTATTACAACAACATGTGGGGGTGTCAACATGAACATAGCTTAGATTAATTATGATTAGCACGTACTTGTTCCCTTGAAGTTAGAGGTTCGAACTTCCATACTCCAAGTTGTTGTATTAAAAAAATATATGGGGTGTGAATTCGAACTTTGACTTTGGTCAAGAATATAATATCTTAATCAGTTAATCTATGTTTGAGTTATTGTGTGAATGACGTACTATGTGACATGGATTGGCATGATGTTGATGTGGAGTGACATGACACTATGATAACGGACACATAATTTAACCTAGTTAGCTAAAAAAAATTGTTTTTAAAATGTTATGTTGGGGGGTGTTGTCATGAAAAAGGGTGTTGAGGGTGAGGCAGTGGACAAGATTCCTGCCTCTCCACCAAAATTTATTTGATTGTTTTAGCTAAAAAGAATTGAAGAACAAGCAAGGAGAAGAACAATAATTGGCGATGATTAAGGCAATTTAGGGCATAATTTGGATGTTAATAATTATGGAGGATTTGGAAAGCTATTATTGCCCACAATCCCAACATATGGGACCTCAAATCCCATGCTCTTTTTAGCTCTTCAACCTTCTCCTTTTTGTCCTCAAACCTTAAACCAACTTTCTTTATTTCTCTCTCTCTCTTTTTTTTCCTTTCTTTTTTTCTAATGTTATCAAAATTTTCTTCATTATTACCCATCAAATCTCTCTCCATAAACAAGATAAATGCAACTCAACTTGTTTCTATAACTAGAATTTTGTTTATACTTGAAGGGTCATTCAATTAAGCTAATGATAATCCAAATTGATAAAAAATTTCTCTATCATTTTCAATGTAGATTTTTCACATTTATCATAATTGAATTGGAATGAGAAGTGATATTTAATATATACCCAAAATCAAACAAACCAAATATCTAAGATCCAATTACACAAACTCGCACAAATACATCATCCATTAAATCCGACGGTAGCTAGCAAAAAGAATACCTAAATTTAATAGAAAAATACTTACATGCTTATTGGTAAGCTCCTATTTTGTATTGACTAGCCTTGAAATTTTTTAGTAGAAAAAGTAGATGCTTCAAAAGAAGTTTTTTGTATTAAAAAAAATAAAGAATGGTAAAATTTTTAGTGGCGGTCAACAAGAATATAGATATTGACTAATCAACAAGTAAGTATGGTTGAACTTGATGCTAAAACACCAACCCAAATTACCTAAAATGAATCTCTAGAAGGGAGGGAAAAAAAACATTCTCCTTGCCAGCAAGTCAAATGGATGGGAGGTAATATTTTTTCATATTTAACCTCATGATGGCCACCTACCTTAAAAATTAGTAATTCTTGTATTTTCCGGCACCAAATATTATAGGTTCAGACAGTTAACCCGTGAGATTAGTCGAGGTACGCGTAAACTGGCCCGGACACTCCGAATTATATATATTCGTATTTTAACATGCAATATTACATCCAATGAAATCACAATTTCAAGGTTAAAAAAAAAGTCCTTTTTGTTAAGATATTTTCTTATATTAATTAAAAATAAAGAAATTCGATCAAAAATTTTTATGACTCCCTTTATATCACATCTAGACGTTTGTTAGTTAGACTATCTGTATGCAACCATAATCTTGTTAATTTGGCTCGACAATTACTTGATTTAGGAGAGATTTTGGTTTTAATTATGAAGAAAGCCATTAATTGTAGAAGCCAAATGAGTAGAAATTCAACTAACAATAAAAAATTAAAGGAAATGATTGGAATAATATTAATTAGGATTTGAAGGTTGCAAGTGAAGACATAGAAGTGGACTTGGTGATTATATTTAAAGGTGAAAGAAAGTGGAGTTTTTTTCTTTTCTTTTCTCAAATAAAGGTTGCCTCACATGGGTTGATACCCTTTAGTACATTAGCCAACCACCTTTAAAAATAAATGGGAAAAAAAATAGAGTTCTCACCTAACTGGTACCAATAACCCAACTCATATTTTTTTTAATACAATTTCTACTCTACTTTTTATATTTTACTCTTTTGTAGTCTCTTTTGTTTACTTCTAATCTTCACATTCTTGTACTTAAATTAAATATATAATTCACTTCTTAATGTTTTCAAAATTTCAACTCCTATCTCCATTTTTCTCCCACCTAGTCTTTTATTGTCGTTATATACATTAAAAATTCATTCTTCAAATAATTACTTGACATTGAATTATATTAAGTTAATTGAATAAGAATTATAACTTGTTTCATTTCATGAGTTGGGTGGTGCCCATACATAAAATAAAAAGAAAAAAAATCTACTCACTTTACGTAATTTGTCCTATATAATAACTTATCATCAACTTAAAATGAGTTATTAATTAAGATAGAAATGTTCTATGTTTTGTTGACAACTATTTATCTTAATAGTAATTTTTCCATTATTGTTATTTTAATGTTTGCAATAATGGTAAAAATACACAATTGAATAAATTTAATATATAAAGAATCAAATTGATTTTCAAACGATTAAAGACCAAATTAAAGTTGACATATTCATCATAGATAACACAAGCATATATTTAGCCTACATACTAATATATACTCAATTTAATCTCAAAAATAATTATTCACTTGGCTAATAATTAACAAAATGCATGCTAATGTGASATTGAAAAGATGGTAACGTGACCATTGACGTACGATATATAGATGCATGTATATGAAAAAACTAGGTAGCATCATGTGTGTCAACTTTTTATATATATTCTGTTAATAGACATAAAAACTAACTATATACATTCAAATTAAAGAGTTGAAACGAAACAAATGAAATTACAACTAGAGACATGGTAAAAGTAAAACTTACCAGTACTCAGAGAAAAAAAAAAGTAAAATTTATCTCACTATATTTATTTTTCGTTTTTGATATCTGTGAGTGTCCTGATCAATTTAGGGGACGGACAACTATCTAACCTAACTACATTTAGTTGTCATAGGAACTTAATTCCTAGATAGGTGGCCATCCATCATAGAATGAATTAACCCATTTTCTTTAAAATTTAAAATGAGAAGTAATTATATCTAAAAGAATGCTAACGAACAGGAATGGTACACTAGAAACCTTATCCTCTCCTTTCTCCGATATTGAGGCTTTTGAGAGCCATTGTCTCTTCTTTTTCCCCCTCTTGTGTGCTATGCTCGATGTAACAAAGCTAAGTAAGGTAATTATATTGTATGTTCTCACTCGACAAAATCCCAAAATTCATGCTGTAAGAATAAGATAAGATAGGAAAAGAAAAGCCATGGAGTACCCCAAAGAACAGAAAAAGAGCTCAAAATTTCCTCCTTATGGAGCTCGCCAAACAAGCCCCAAAAAACGACAGCTCTCCCAAAACTTGTCCTAAAATATTATTAGGGCCCCTAATCTATGAGTGTTGGCAACCCTCTTTAAATAAAAAAAGGGAAAAAATTTGTAAACCCCAAGTCATTATATTTGGCCCGCCAATCAAGCAAGCGTGTTCCCAAGCACCCACCCCCATGTGCTGCTTTTGCTCTCCATGAAATCAGCTTTCCATACCCTCCACGTGTCACTTTCTCATTCGTCGTTCCCCCACCGCGCTCCCCTCTTAGTAAATTATCATTTCAGTCTCGATGGTCTGTGCTTCATTTCAAATTTTCTATAACAGACGTGAACAATTAGTTCTACTACCAGCTGACATTCGAAAATACTAATCAGATGATTAGTGAACTCTTCTTATATATCTTGTCCTGACCATCATTGAATTTTTAACGAATAAGGTAGAGAAATATAAAAGTAAATATTTCTTCTTTTCTAAAGAATAATGAACTTAAGTGGTGGTAAGCACCAAAATAGCTAAAGTACTAGTGCTCACGATCAGCCACCTAAATATTTTTCTAGGCTTTATAACTTTAGTTAAATTTTAAGGTACCCTTAATTACTATTACTAAATATTAATAATTGGTTGATTCTACTATACCAACTACATTATAGTTGGGGACGATGAGTAGGTTAAATTAGTTTGAATTTAATATACTTAATACATAAAACACTTGTCAAAGCGAGCATATCTCATACCTCAAATCAAGAAATTAATTATGAGTTCGATCATCCACCCTAGGTGTTGTACTAAAAAAAGAAATACATAAACTACCTAAAAGTGCTGAATACTGGCCACCATTGAATTTTATTTTGAATTCGTCTCCCTTATCTATAAAAAAAAAAATAAATAAATAATGGTAATCCTTACTTAGAAGCACCCATTTGAAAGACAATATTGAAAATTCTTTTAAATTATAGAGAGAATAAATTACATTTAAATAATAATAATAAAAAAGAAAAGGATGCTTTTTCAATAACTTTCTTTTTTTCTTTTTCCATTTGCAGCTTCCCTTTTGTCCGTACATGTCTTATCTCCCATTATATAACTCCCTCCCCTCTCCATCCTTTTCTGAGTTGAGAGAAGAAAAAAGGGCAAAAAAAAACAAACAAACAGGGAATTGTGAAGATGATGAAGCTGAGGTCAAAGAGGTTCTGCAGAAGCTCCACTTTCAGGTTTGGAAGCTTCGTCGGCAGCTGCAACAACAAGATCAAAGTTGCCGATGACCACCACAAGGACGACGACGACGGCGCCGCCATGACGGAAATCAAGTGGGAGCTCCGGCCCGGAGGCATGCTGGTCCAGAGGAGAGACATCGCCGCCGGATCCACCTTGGCCGGACAACAAACTATCACCATTAGAGTCTCCACTGTCTCTCAATGCCATTACATTTCTGTCCAACCCACCTCAACTTTTGGTAATTAATTACCTCTTCTTCTACATTTTTATTCCATTTCTCCAAAATCTAAAAACCAAAAATGGGTTTTCTTTTTTCGAGTTTCCAAATTTGGAGAACAAAACGATTTTGAAAAATCACAACTTTTCTTATTCCAATTCAAACTCCAATGGCTATAAGTTAAATCATCGTTAAACTTAAAAATTTAAGTTTTTTTTACTGGTGGTAATAGACACGTACTCCTTTCTTTAAAGTTAGAAGTTTGATTCTCATATCACGGAATTATTGTACTACAAATAAAAAAAATATTTAAGCTTTTTTATATTGTTTCTCTCCCTCCACATTTCTTTTTCCCTCTATAAAAAATTTAGTTGTGGAAAATAGAATTTCCAACTAAATCTGGAAAGAACCATGATGGGATCAAATCCAAAAAAGAAAAAAGAAAAGATGGGTTTTTTTGTTTAAAGGGATTAGAAACATTAGAATTTGAATAAAGTTAAGGGGGATTATGATGATTAATTAAGCTAATTATGGGTTTGTGTGTGGTGTATTGTTTGTTAATAGGAGAATTGAAGATGATGCTATCAATGGTGACTGGTTTAGAAGCAAAAGAGCAAAGACTACTATTCAAAGGGAAAGAGAGAGATGACTGTGAATATTTACACATGGTTGGAGTAGGAGACAAAGACAAGGTTCTTCTGCTACAAGATCCAGCTATTAAAGAAAGGAAGCTTCATGCCTTGGCAACAGCCCAACCAATTAGAGTATAATAATCATAATCATAATCATAATATAATACTAATTAATCCAAAAACTAAAAAATGTTGTTTTTTTTTATATAATTACCACTAACCCCAGAAAATGCCAAACTGTCTGTGCTTCAAAGCCTTTGGTTGTTTTAATTTGTAAGAATTTTGGTGGTTTAAATATATATAGTTTGAGCAAAATTAGTGCAATGAATTATTGTTGTAATATGCCGATGCCAATCTGAGTCATTATGTTTGCTGATTTTGTATCCAAACAAAGATTGATTCTAAAGAATGCATCTTGAAATCAGAAATCTTATAAGATTATAATAAAACATATTTATATTATATAGTATATTTTCTTCTTATAACATGCATTTTGATTTTAATTACACTCCGAGCATCATAATTTCGACTTTAAAAATGATAATAGTATTTTGTAAAGTAAATAAATTTTAAATAAGTTGTGGTTTTAGGATGAGTTTAATTTGGCAGTGACCCACGCGTGCACGCCTGCCTGTGTTAAGGGTTTTTTTTTCTCTCTAAAGTTGTCAGCTGCTATAAAATAAAAGCTGATTTTTTTTTTTAATATTTTATTTATTGGCTTTTCCCTATTTTTAAATTGCTTCACAGAAAAGTTAATTTGAGCATTCATTTATACTTCCAAACTGCTACTTTAACCAATTAATATCCATCAGTCACATCTTCCATCTTTTTATTTCTATTCTAAACTTTCGAATCAAAATGTAATTGTAGCTTAAAAGTATAAAGTAATCTTCCACGAGATTAAGATCATATTAGAATTTTCACTCACACTCATTAATTGATAGAACAAAAGAAATGCAAGCGGGTCGATTGTTTTTCGACTATAATCATGTTGACAAGTCTTACAAAGTTTGAAACAAGTATTTGTCTAGATTTTCTTTTTTCCTTTTTAAAAAACTTTAGAGTAGTACAAATCTAGCTTAAAAGAAACAATAGATTAAATAAACATGTCAAAAATATTTTAAATTTAATGTTGATTTTACAAAATGAATAATTATATTTTGTAAAAATAAATTTTAAAAAAGTCGTGAAATCTCATGCTACTTACAAATCTAGATCATTAGTATTTACACTTAGGCTAAGAATAATTTTGACAAAAATTGCAACACTTTTTGATATTTTGTTCTTTATAGTTTTATGGTATCATAAACATATGAATATCAAACTCCTTACTTTATATACTGGCAATGAAAATTATACTCTGGCGACCAAAATACTGGTGCTGCTAAGAAATATTGTAGTTTCAACTTCCAAGTAAAACTATAGTAATTATGAAACTATTAGGAAAAATAATAGCAGCCTCTTTTTATTTTTTTGTGACATGTACAGCCTCTTGAAATTGTTTAAAAAAATACTGTAGTTTAATCGGCTAAGAAATAGCTTAATCACGATTTATATTAATCATTATTTTCATTTAACATTAATCGTATTTTATTAATGCAACAATATCTATAAAAGAAAAAAGAACATTAAAATTTTTTAAAAAGAAAGAAAAGAGAAAATACACTGCGATGCATTTCCCAGAATGCCCTTATATGTTCAAAACGATGTGTTTCTCACCTTGTCAACTTCTTTTCACAAAGCGACCCTGCAAAAGGGAGGAGAAAGTCAATTCAAACTTCTAAGTTCTCATAAATTCAATATACAATTTAGCAAAAGTAGTTTTGTCCATGTTTATTCTTAGACTTTCGATTTTATTAAACTAAACCTTAAACTTATTAGTAGTCGAACGTATCAATATTTCCATCAATATTATCACTACTACTGTATACTAGTATTAATATTTTAAACTTATTTAGAAAAACTGAAATGACTACTCATTAATTTAAATATTTTTATAACTTTTTCAAAAACATCCATCGACATTTTTGTGAAATTGAAACCTCAACATTCTCATCCCCATCGACATTGTAAATCTGAATTATAAGACTATATCTAATATATCCCAAAACCAAATTAGAAAATAAACCGAGAAATGTATTACACAAAATTAGCCAACCGAGAAATACCTAAAAATAAATTGTCCAATGTCTCAACTTATGTAGCATACCTAATAGCCAGACTGATAATAGATTTATGGTTTAAGAAATATTTTGGTCCTATAAAGAACAAAATGGTAACTTTTGAATATACAGAGACCAAAATGAATCAAAGCAGAGAGTAGGACAAGTACGAAAGAATATTTAAAGGTAGAGTTGTGATATAAAAGATAATTAAATAAATGATAGTAAATAGAAGGATATAAAGTATAGTTGGAGAAGATAGTTAAAAGTTACCTTCATTCTTGGACGCTTCTCAGCATTGAGTTTTCTAACTTGATAACGAATGCGCTTTGAGAAGAGCCTACTTTGCCTTTTCTCTTTGTATCTCAAAACACTTGCCTCTCTTTGCCCCATTTTCCACCCTTCCATCTCTGGCACTTTCCACACATTATTATTATTATTATTACTATTCCCTTCACTTCCCATTCCACAGCATCTCTGTATAGTGTAAACACTTTCAAATCAACAAAAACCCTGTGCTTTCAAACTTACAAACAAACTCCCTACTCCAACATGTATGTCAGTTCATATCAAACCACACCATATTAACAACACTGAATTAGAAACATTACTCCAAATTTTCATGCTATTCACTTAGTTCCTATGACTATACAGATGATTCTTTTAAAATGATTGCTTTTGAAGATACTTCCAAAAGTGTTTTACATGAATGCTTATTAAAAGGAGTGTTTGAACCAAAAGCTACTCAAGCTCGCCTTAAATATAGCTTTAAAAAGGTACTTCTTGGCTCTTAGAAGAATCAGGTAAATCAAATGCTTCATTTAGAAAACACTGTCGTTGTAAAAACTCATCTCAAATTCACAATGGATCACAGGGCCGGGCAAATCTTGTATAGAGACAGACAGAAAAAGATCTTACATTGGGAAGGGAATCAGAGCTGAAGATTTGATCATCATGGAGATTAGGGACGGTCTGAGGAGATTCTCCATTGATATAAAGCGGAGCTTTATCAGACCAAGCATTCAAAATCCCCTCGTAATCAAGCTTCAACCGCGGCTGTTTCTGTTTCCCAATAATCTCCATTTTGTTCTTCTTTTTGTTGATGTACTTCTTCTCCACCCACTCATCCGCCGCCGTGCTCGTAACTTCCTCCTCCTTCTTCTCCACCACCTCCGAGTAACACACCCACTTCTCCTCCTCCGCCGCCTCCCTCTCCCGGCTCCTCATCGCCGCCCGCACCAGCCAGCTCCCGCCCTCCGCCTCCCTCCCACCCACCAAATTACGCGACTCCTCCTCCGTCGACGACATGTCGTTCTGGTAACTCGGCAGGAAGCTCAAGCTCTGCAGGCTGCAGCAGCTGCTCACCACGTCGCTGTTGAACATCAGCGCCACGTTCTCGTCGTGCATCGAGTCTCTGTCCTCCACCATGTTTTCCGGATGCAGAGGAAACAGAGTCAGCTGCTGCTGCTGCTGCTCCTGCAACGCCGGCGGCTTCGGCCTGGGGCTCATCGGAGTGGAATTCCGCGGCGGTGTCAGCTCCAATAGGAGGCTGAGGAACTTGGGTCGTCTGGTTTTGGTTCTGATTTTACGAATTGGGTGTTTGATTACGGAATTGTTGGTGTTAGAAGCCGATCCCAAATCTTGAGCCCTGTTTCTGATGCACATTTCACTCGCTCCCAACACATGGACGGACAAATCTCTCTTTTGGGAATGGAAAAGGTTTTTATGAGGGAAAAAAAGAAAAAAAAGCGAAAGCCAGGAAGGCAGCGAAAAGGCTCCAGCTGACCCACTTGTGAAAAAAAGAGGACTGCCCTCTGCTGAGTCAGCCATCCGATGCAGATTTCTGATGTGACGTGTTGGCGTATCGAAACGTGGAGGGACAGGATTGGGCCGGGAAGTGGATTGTGTTGTTATCCGGATTGCCCTCGGCGCTGTGGATAGGGTGTGGGGGTGTTTGTGTAATTTCCTCGTATGGTGAACAGAGAAAGGGCAGTGTGGTGGGGCAAGTATAATTGACAGAAGCTCTTATTTTTCTGCCTCTATGGATTAATAGTTTTCACAAGATGGGTGCTTCTGGCTTATCGCTTCCAATTTGCACCCATGCCCCCCAAATAGAGTAATTCGTGAAAAATATTGGGGGGTTGTTGCAAATATTTAACAAATGGCTACGAATAGAAGAAAAGTTGACATATATCTTGTCCACTTTCTACGTTGCGTCCTCGGATTTGCCATATGTATTTCGTCTCTCGATAATGATTTTGGAGGTATTCTTTTTGGGTATGATTTAAACAAGATTTTTATAATTGATCTTTGCAACTTTGTTATTGATTACTTGTTACTTTTGGAAACTATGTGATTAATATCATGATTTACGAGATTGAAGAACTTATCGAAATTGTGAACTTCAATAGAGAGATCTGAGTTCTAGCATAAATTTGAACAGTGACTACATTCTCCCACATTGAAAGATGGTGCGGAAGGAACTCTCAAACGTAGATGCACATAGAACATCTCCTTCTATAACTTCAAGACTTAATTAGAGAAGAGTTGTTTTTAAGACTATTTTATCATCTTTTCCTATTGTGTGCTTAGAAAAAAATACTTTTAGAAACTTCTTATCATTTTATTTTTAATTATTTAGTGTGACTACTTATTTTATATGAACCATTTGGGTGGTTTATTGGTCAGAGTTAGGGTTAGTTAAATAAGTTCAAATCCTATAATTTATCGAGATGCGCGTAAGTTGGTTCGGGCACTGCGATATAAAAGAAAACATGAAATTGAAGTTGGATCATGAGACAGCATTTGGGCCGATACGGCCCGATCCCAAAAGTAAAAGCATTTATTTTCAATCCAATATCTCAATCTCATATCCCTTGAAGAGGGATTTTTTTTTAATATTGTTTTTAATTAAACTTATTTTTAAAATAATGCAGATTTATTACAAAAGATGGAAAAAATGCAACTTTGGAAACTTATTCAAAAAATAATGTTGGTGCAAAAACCGTGAGGCTTGGTCGTCTCTTCAAGAGATGACCATGTTTTCCCGCCCGGATGGTCGTCTCTTCAAGAGACGACATTTGACGTGGCGCTATCTCGTCAAATTTTTTTAAAACGAAAATGTGGTCGTCTCTTCAGACTATCTAGGTGGTTTGGAAAAAAAATATTATTTTGTTGATGATCTGTAGCCCTTCCATCCCAGGTTCAAGTCTTCATATCCCCCATTTTTCTTTTTCATAACAATTAAACATCACTTTTCTCTTTTTTACTTAATATTATCATTACCCCATTTTTCCTTTTCATAACAATTAATTATATCTTTTCTCTTTTTTACTTAATATTATCATTTCCATCCCCGCTTTTTTTTATATATTATTATTTATTTAATAATAATAAGTTTATCATTATTACTATCATTGTATTTTCTTTTATTTAATATATTTTCTTTTCTTTTATATAGTATTAAATAAATAATAGTGTATATATATAAATATTGAATTGTTTGACACATTTTAATTGTTCTACTGAAATAATTGTTCACTTATAATATTGTTGTAGATGGAGCAATTTTGTGTTACAGAGGTATCTACACATGTTTTGATCCAATATAGATACATGTTGGACCTCTTGTCACCTGGCTCGGTACGTTTTTAAATTTTTTTAAATTTTAAATATATATCGATTTACAATTAATTACATGTTTTATTTATTACGATTTCAGATGATCTGGGAGCCATATACTAAGGAATTTGCAAGCTTACCTGACTACTGTACCAGTGGACATGATGTATGGTGCACTGTAAGTCCACTCATATGCTTTCATGTAGTTGAGTGRCATCATCCAGATAGAGTTACAAAACAATTTGGTATGAAACAAGCAATTCCAGAAGTGCCCAGTTGGGAACCAAGGATACATGACATAGACATACGGGATAGCACATGGCAGGATAAAACTGCATCTTTCGTAGCGAGGTGGCGCGTGCGTAGAGATTATATTGTTATAAATCCTCCCGTGGACGATGATGGTGCTTGCGATCCAGAATACATGAGTTGATATTTATCAATAACTAGACGTTATCTTACTTGAGAAGGGGCATCATTTGGTGCTACGGTACAAATTTTAATTTGGTTATATAAACTATTCGAATTTAAATATATATTTATGAATTTTTAATTTCGTGCTACGGTACAATTTTTAATTTTTTCCATGTAGGCTGCGTGTTTCGAGCAAATAAGTATTATCTCATCATCAGAAGATATTAATAGGTTGTGTAACGTTGGCGCGAGACATCTTCAAAGCCTTGATCAGATGTATAAGGTGCCTACTCCAGCTCGTGGCCCTAGGCGTAGAGGACGGCGTCAAGTAGATCAGGATGCTCCAATAGAGCTTGACGATCCTGTACCTGAAGTTATCTATCATAACGTCGAGGACGTTCTACCGTTTACACAGACACAGGATGATGCTGGTCCGTCGACGCCTATGTTCATGATACCGACTCCTAGTTCCAGTCAGTATCACACACCACCTTTGCCACCATTGTATGGTTATGGAGCCGGCCATGGACGTGGACGTGGGGAGCATGGACAATACATCAACCCTGCGGAGGATCAAGAGACACCACCACCAGCAATAGTTCGTCGTCAGCCACATCGTAACCGACGACGTCCCCATTGTGGGACGGATTAGATGGATAGATTGTAAATTGACAAACAGAAAACATTATTCTAAGATTGTATTTTCTTTTCTTTTAATATATTATTATTTATTTTTCTCTTTTTTACTTAATATTATCATTTTTATCCCACCTTCTCTTATATATATACACTATTATTTATTTAATAATATATAAAATAAAAGAAAATATATTAAATAAAAGAAAATACAATGATAGTAATAATAATAAACTTATTATTATTAAATAAATAATAATATATAAAAAAAAGCTGGGATGGAAATGATAATATTAAGTAAAAAAGGGAAAAGATATAATTAATTATTATGAAAAGGAATAATGGGGTAATGATAATATTAAGTAAAAAAGAGAAAAGTGATGTTTAATTGTTATGAAAAAGAAAAACGGGGGATATGAAGGCTTGAACCTGGGATGGAAGGGCTACAGATCAGCTACAAACCCACTACACCACTAGAAACTTTTTGACATAAGAACTACTATTTCATATTATATAATAAAAACATAATATTTCTTTTCCAAACCACCTAGATGGTCGTCTCTTGAGATGACCACATTTTCGTTTTAAAAAAATTTGACGTGGCGCCATCTGGTCGTCTCTTGAAAACATGGTCGTCTTTTGAAGAGACGACCAAGCCCCACGGTTTTTACACCAGCATTATTTTTGGAATAAGTTTCCAAAGTTGTATTTTTTCCATCTTTTCTAATAAATTTGCATTATTTTAAAAATAAGTTTAATTAAAAACAATATTAAAAAAAAATCCCCTTGAAGAGAGAGAGATGGAAAAAGAAAACCTTTGACTTGTACATCTTTGACTTTATAAACTATCTAACTGTTACAAAGAAATAACCAATATATATAGTAACAGAATATTAACTATCTAACTGAAATATAAAGTCTAATATAACTCTTTTTTTAGTTCCAAAAAAGAATATATATGTATATAATTATCTGTTTAATATAATGAGTCTTATTTCTATTTATTCTCTAAAAAAAGTTTCAAAAAAAAATTACAATTATTTGAATGGTGAAATTCAAACTTTCTAATATAAAATATAAAATATAAAATTTCAAAATTTATAATTTATTGATCTATTATATATCTCAACTCAACAAACTGGGGAGCCGAAAACAGAATTGCTCATGTCCCAACGAGGAGAATGCTTTTTAAAATTTCTATTTCGTTATGAAAAGAAATAATTGATCTATTATATAAAATTTAAAAACATACTAAATAAGTACTCTTTAAAGTTTAGGGTCTGTTACGTGTCATTGTGAAACTTTGATGAAAAGATAAATTCAAAACAACGACATTCATTAATTAAAATGAAAGACAACAAAAATATCAAAATGTGGCATGATTGACGGGTAAAGAAAAAGACTACATATTTTTTCCTCCTAGCGTGATTGGAGACGCCACATTTTCTCATACTTAATTAAGCTTTCACACTCACAATCTTCCGAAAGTGGAACCAAATATATTACGGTTTTCCGTTTGGTAACCCAGAAAATTGGAAGGAAAACGACAGAGAATAATTCAAACAAAAAAACAGAAAAAAAAAGGCTTTGTTTTAAGATATAAACGAAGAATAATACCAATTTCTCTTTTGGCTCTTCGTTGTAGCTACCTGCAGTTAATAATTAATATATCTAGCAGCGGGAGCCTCTTCGGCAGTTGAGGGCGCCGGCGGTGAGGGTGATGGATCCGACGAGGGAGGAGGGTCTTGCACTGAGGCTGTAAGCTCTGGCGTAGCTGGAGGCGGCGCCGGCGCCGGACTGGCGGAAGTAAGCGCCGTTCAAGAGCAGGTCGCCCTCGGAGCGCCAGTTCCAGTGGCGCCACTGGGTCTCCGGCGCGTCCTCGTGCTTCGTCACCTCCTTCCGGAAGCGGTTGTCCGGCGCCGCRAATCTGTTGCCTTGGCTGTATATGGTCGGCGATGCACTCCCTCCGATGGCGTACATTTCCCAGTGCGTGTAATCGTTGTTCACCACGTGGAAATACCCATGTCTGCATCTGCAAATTTACATGCCATTTTCAGATCAAAATAACAACACCCATAAAATTATTGCGTGAATATCATGATGTTTCAATGTGTGTGTTGAATAAATTACTAGTTATTGTAATTTTTATGACTCTGGACTTTATATATCAATCATGAATCAACTTCGAATTGTCTTACCACCGGTCAAACATCAGTATGATGATCAAAATTTGTCTTTCATGGTTAAAAAAATTCACCGATTCATTATTTTTTGTCCTCATCAATCAGTGTTTTTCACAAAATAATAATATTTAGGTACTTGTATCACTAAGTAGATATCTCTTACTTACCACAATTAAAAACAAGGATAGCGAAAAAAAAAATGAAGGCATAAGATAATTAATTGCTAAATTTTAACTCATATGCTACTAAGGAGCGAGATAGATAAACAACCTAAATATTATTCATATATTTAAAATAATAATAATAAAACTCTAATAGAGAAAAAAAAAGACATGAGAAATTATACTCTTTTCTAACGTCCAATTTTTTCTTTATCATTGACTTTTAGGTGATTCTAAACTTTATTTTAAAATTTAAGAATAATTTAATAACTCCTTAGATTTTTTATTTTATGTCTAAAAATAAGCCCGTATTTTATAAAAACTACACCAAGTCAATGATTTATTTAACATTGTTTTAAAGTTCAGAAACCTATTGGACACAATTTTAAAAATTCTTAAATTAAAAAAGTTATAATTAAATAATTAAACCAAACTTTTAACATATAATAAGTATGTCGCACTAGTCCAACAACATAAAGAATTTTTTTTTTCAAAAGTCATAATTAAAAAAGGTTTACCTTGGCATTCTTTGGACAAGGCCCTCTCCAAAATGGTTAAAGGCAATGGTAACCTGCATATCTTTATCCTGCGTGTATGAATCGCTATGCCCCAACAGCATGACCTTATCATGATGTGTCATGTAGTTATTGGATATGGTGATGGCAGTGGACCCATGGATCGCATCTATCAATCCATCGTTGCAATTGGACAGAGAACAGTGATCCACCCAGATGTGTTTCCCGCCAAAAATGGACACTCCATCGCCGTCCGATACGGTCCACCACCCCGAGTGCTGTGGGGAGTCCCGTATGTTACCATTCCCCCCTCTCTTGCAGTCATGTATGTGGATCCCATGGATGATGATGTTGCTCGCGTAATGGATGGTGATGCATGGCCCTCCTGCCACGTGTACGCTCGCCCCTCTCCCGTCAATGGTCTTGTACGAGTTCATTACCAGCTCCTGTTTCAGCCGTATCACCATGTCCCGTTTGAAGATTATCCACAGCGGCTCGTTTTGGATCACCGCGTGCCGGAGTGTCCCCGGCCGCGGGTTCACTGCATCGTCGTCTCCCGCGTCACTCACCACGTAGAACCGCCCGTTTCTTCCTCCCATTGCGTTCTTTCCGAATCCGATCGCGCAGTCCGCCAGTCGCTTTCGATTGCTCTCCCAATTCGGATCGCACCTCCAGCAGTCGTCTATTGGGTTTCCCGTTCCGCATGAGAAATACCCTAGGTTCCTCCTCGACACATTGATGCTCCTGTCCAGAAAAATTATTCAATGTGACCGCTCCAATAATAATCATGTAGCATATTATCATCTCTCAACTAATAACAATTTGATACACAGTTTTAAAATTTGCATGCATGTTAGCTAGCCATATCGTTTCATTAATTCTCTTTGGTAGTACTGGACTTAAATGTTCTCATTTCTCGTTTCTTTCTATAATGGTCCCAAAAAAGAAATAGAAAAAAATTTTAGCTGATGCATTACTACTAGCTAGTCAATAGTAATGGTAATAGTAAACTCTTCGTCCAATGCCTTTTTACAAGAACCCACATTTTAAAAAAATGAAAATGTTGTATACATCGCATTTGTTAAAATATTTGAAAGTTGTTAAATAATGTTACTCTCGTACTCCTAAGTATCTCCATTATGATATTGTCAATTTCGGACATAACTCTCACGGTTTTGTTTTTTGTTATTCATCCAAAAAGCGTCTGAAAGATTATTGTCATCCTTTATATATATCATGGATCATGATATTTCCTAACCAAGGTGAGGCTTTGTTTGCTTTTATCTTACAAACTTAACCAAAGTAACCAAATACATATATCTCTCTAAAAATTAGAAACAATAAACAAAGAAATAACCCAAATATATAATGTGTATATACCTTTCAACTTCTTGAACTACACGATGAGGATCTTGGACTGAATTGGGCAAGGAGGAAGCTGAGGCTGGGGCTGCACTCCACAACAACAGAGAGAGAGAAATTAGAAGCAAAAAGCAAAGGGAAGCCGCCATGGGAGAAGACTATGATCTCTCAGAAATAAGATCAGAAAAAGCTTGAAGAAGAAGAAGAAGGGTTTGTTGCATTATATAGAAATAAAAAGCCGATAGTAGAGGCGTGATTAAGCCCTAGAATTACAAAGTGGGGTCTCAAACATGCATTATCGTAATTTCAGGTTTTAAATCATCTCTTTAAACCACTCAAGTCAAATTAGTTGACTTTCTGTCTCTGGTCTCATTCAATTTCCTCTTTTTATCAGATTAAAAGTTTACAAGCTTCTAACTTTTTATGTTTATATTAACGTTTTGGATAAAATGAGCACAACCCTTTTTTTTCTAGGTGACTTTCGACGGGTTTGGAGCCATCAAATTGGAGAATTTCTAATTTTAGATTCACACCCAAGGACCAATTAATGCAACTGTTCTTGTTCCATAGAGTGATCCATGGAGTTTACTTGAAAATTTTTAACTCTATTGGTGATGACGTCATGCTTATTTCATTTTAAATTTTTTACATAAAAATATTTAATCATTTTTGTTAATTTTAAATAAATTATTTTACAATCGTTTGATAAATAGAGACTATCACTCATGAATATACATCTACAAATAGTTTTATAGGAAGTCACATATGTAATAGGTTAAAAATTAAATTTCTAAATAGGTCAATTCATGTTGTTAATAAATGAATAACACGATAAGATGCTAATATGTGTCTATCTGATCAGTAGTAAATAAATATCTACACATTTTTACGTAGGTTTTTTATATTTCAAGATTAAAACGAAAATATTTAGAAGTTGAACACTAAAACAAAAAGTTTGGAAATTATTTTAAGCATAAAAATGAAATGAATATAAAATTCATAATAAAAATTTTTCTTCTAGAAAAAAAATACTTAGACCAGATTAAGAATTAATAAATTTCAACATCCAAAATAATCATTTTGAAATTAATATAATAGAAATTTAGGTCAATAAGTCGTGGGTAGATAGGCTCATGAAATTATAGAAGTAATGTCTTTTTATGCAGATAATAGAAAGTAGATAGATTTTTGTTTTTCAATTTAAACATAATTCAATTAGTTAAAATATATATCAACCAAGAAGTCAACCATTCGAACGGACTCAAAAAATAAAAATAAGAATAAGTGTTACGATAAAATGTTAGTATATTATATATAATTTTGACAAATTGATATATTTGGCCTAACATGAACTTAACTAAACGCTATTTCATCTATATGAGGTTGTGAGTTCGAATATTCCTCCCACGTCATTTGTTATACTAAAAAAATACAAATGGATATATTTGTTATTATTATTAATTGTTTTTTTGGGTAGACATAATATATTGAATTGCGGGAAAATGTGTTAAAAGAAACATTTACCAATTACGACTTGCCGGGGATTTGGAATATAATGTGTTGAAAACAGAATGATAGAGGTTGGTTGAGTATCTATATGCCAATTGAATTTTTGTTTAACAGAACCAACTGATCTAGTTTCAAATTTAAAAATTAGTAAAAAAGTATTACTTTAATTCATGTATATCCTCGACCAAGATATCACAGTAGAAAATGTTGGAAATTATGTACTAGTATATATGACTGTATGAGAGATGAGTGTTGAAAGATGACGTAATTCTTCTACTTTCAACCAACCAAAATTCTTATTCCCAAAGTTATAAGACCATATGTGAGTTTTATTTAAAAACAATTAATTCTTTGGAGAGTTTTTACATACAAAACTTGAGTACAAAAGTTACTTGATTATTCATTTTATATATTGGTTTATATTTTACTTAGTTTTTAAAATTTTGAACTATACTTTTGGAATTTAAAATTACGTTCTTATTGAATCCATATCATTATTCACATGTCATATTAGAATTTCTTGAATTTGAAACCTTGATTATAGATCTTTGAATTATTATTATTATTATTTTGTTGAAGAGAGAACTATTATACCTTTATAATTTTGATGATATTGTATTAATAATAATAATATATTATTTTACATATAAATATATAATCRTTCAATCAATCAACTTAAATTTGTAAATATTTCCATTGATGTATATATTTTTAAAATCCAAACGAAAACAATCAATATGTCTATAATTAAAAAAACTTAAATTGTATTCCTCATATATTTTGTTTATTTTCTTGCTTCTACTTCCTTGATATGTAAGAAGGCTAAAGAGGAAACAAAAAATGGAAGGTAAAGAATGAACAAAATAGGTTGAGTAATACAGATGTTTTCGAGTGCTCCAATTTAAATCTTTGAAGAAGTACTATACAAGTTATGATTAACTCACTCCTTTGAATTCTCTAACTTGAATGCAAATATTGGGTTAGGAAATTAATGTTGCAAAATGCTTTTGAAAGGAACAACAATTGCGTTTAAATTAGATTGGAAACAACACCGAAATAGAAAATAAGGAGTTTGGAGTCTAAAAGAATGGAAAAAAGGAATCATATGATTATCCCTCTGTATTTTCAGAGAATCGCCAAATGCCTTACAACAGAAAATCCACAGTCATCTCTTCAAATACATTGCAACCCATCTCATGAAAGTAAAATTGAAAAAAAAAAAGAAGCCCATTTGTATTTAGCAGCTAAAGCTTAGAAGGCAAAGAATCCAGCAACTGCGCAAACTCCGGCAATGGCAGCAGCCGACGCCTTCACGAACGAAGCTCCACTGGCCGGAGCATCGGTGGGTGCATCGCCGGCGGGTCCTCCGGCAGCGGGTGCATCAGCATCAGCATCTGCAGCGTCACTGTCAGCGGCGGGACCGCTGGGGGAGGGTGGGGATGAAACATCGGCGGCGTCGGGGGATGCGGCGGGGGATTCGTCGGATGCGGGCCCGTCAGCAGCAGGGGACGAAGCAGGGGAGCCGGCGGGGGCAGACTCTGCTTTCGTGCCCTTTGGGGCATCAGCCGCGGGAGATGAAGCAGCCCCCTTGGGAGCATCGGCGGCGGGAGTGGCGGAAGATGGGGCGTCGGACTCGGCGGCGGCGGGGGCGGAGGAGGAATTGGATTTGGAGGGAGCAGCAGCCGGAGCAGAGGCGGGAGATTTAGAAGCAGGGGAATCTTTGGCTTCGGTGGAATTGGACTTGGAGGGAGCAGCAGCCGGAGCGGTGGATGGGGCCTTGGCGGCGGATACAACGCCGACGACGGCGGCGAAGAGAAGGGCGAGGACAACCAATTGGCGGGCCATTGCAGCTGTTGAGATGGGAAAGAGAAGAAACAGAGAGATAAAGAAAAACAGAGGAGGGTTTTATTTATTTATTAATGATTCTGAAGGCTGCTGCAGATTGCAGAAGCTCTATAAGATATATAGAGAAGAACTGCAGAGCCAGAGAATGAGTATGAATGAAGGAGGGGAGAGGTATTTAAAGGGAGGGGAAGCTCAAGAATTCGCGGCAATGGAGGATTCAGTTGGGAGTTGATTCCTGATTTTCTCAATTTTAGATATTTTCAGTTGGCTCTGTGCGGGTATTTTGGTTCATTTTTCTATATTTCGGATCTCCTCTCTATAATGGTGGGAGGGAAAAGAAACTACTTTAAATCTTTTTTCTTTTTTTTTTGATTTGTAGTTCAATAATAATTTAAAATTGATTTCATGGTGTTTATGTGAAATCTAAACTACTCTTTTCTAGAATTTTAATTTAGAAATATTTGTTTTATATATTATTAACATTTGATTAAACAAATGGATTGAAAAGGAAATAATATTGTTCATTTATATTAATGGGTTTTGCATTAAATATTTATTTGATTTTTGTTTTTAGAGACATTATCTTCCTCGACTAAACTTTTAATTTAACCTATGATTTTTTCTTATCAAAATTTTCCTTTGTTTTTCACGTTCTTACAATCAGGCAATTTCGATTATTGACCTCTCTACACATTCATTTTCTCTTGTTGCTTTTCGTATTACTTCTTATTGGTTTCTTTCAAGCTATTTGAATTCACTTTCTATATCATTGTAAAATATTACTATTTTGAATGGAAGTAATTTTAACAATGACAACTAAACGTACCATAATGTTTTACAATAATATAAAGTATAGAAAATGACAAAAAGTGATTTTAGCTATGTCAAAATCACTCCCAAAACATGCCCTTAAACACTACCCCTAATCACTTCTTCGCCCCTAAAAAATAAATCCTTGACTTTGCGAGAAGTAGTAAATCATTTTGCAAAATTTTTATCTAATAATTAGAAGTACTCACCAACATAAGCATGGTTCAATGCATATGTACACTTTTTTTTTTTTTAAGTTTGAGATTCAAATATTGATACATATGATTATACCTCTGTACTTAAAAATAATAATAATAGAAATGCCCATACTATTTAAAAAAAGAAAACATTGGAAAAAAAGTAGTATTCTTAGAAGAGGAATCACACTAATGATTTTTCCTCAATATGTTTATAGAAAAATAGTTTATTTAAAATGAGCACCTCACAAATTATCTTAAGTTAAATCTAAGTATTATATGCAATATTTAATTAATGTTTCATTATGCAGAAGTAATTTACTTCAGAATATTATGTTGATGTTGAATTTCTGCCTACATGAGAAGTTTGGATTTCTCTTGCCAAATCCAATTAGGTGAGAGGACCTTCACACAAGGAGTAAACACTTCCAAGTTCAAGTTTGATTTAGATCGAAACAGAAATCCATACTTGATAATGAGGAATGAGTATTCTTTTATAGACGAGATGGAGAGAGATTGTTCTATTATAGCCGTTCGATTACACGAGGTAACTCATAGATGACCATTTTCAAAGACATTAATGACATTCCAAGCTATATAGATCGCACTTTGCTCGACCACTACATATGATATGAAAACATAATAAGTAAGGCCGGATCACCTACCTTTTGTTCATCCATTTGGTAGATCAAATTTTGCCCTCAAGATGCTTTGATACACTATTGAAACAATAGACTAAATTGCAAAAACATCCCAACCTTAGAGGTTAAAATATATACTTAAACCATTATTTGCATGCTTAGCAAGCATGGTTTGAATCCCAACCACAATACTATACTAACTGTTTAAAAAGAAAAAAAAAAAACTGGTCAGATGGAGAATCGAACCAAACCGGTGCAAACCGGCGGATTTTATTCGATTAGTAAAAATTGGACTACTCAGAAAACTGAAAACTTTCAGCACAATTCGGTTTTCCCGCGAAGAGATTACAAACCCTAATTTCACCTTACAAGTTACAATCTTCTTCCGCTCTGATCTCAGCTAGTCTTTTTAATTATTATGTTTCGAACCCGATTGGAATCAACCGAAAAAAACAATAGGATCCGGTTTTCTTCAACCATACAAAATGTCGACCCGGCTGCTGACCCGAACTTTTAACCACTCGCGACAGCGCTGCAGCCACTATCGAGTTTTCTGAAACTTGAAACTTAGAAGAATGGCAGAAGAATCCGCCCCGGAGCCTGGATCTAATCGTTCCTATTCCGCTATCAACGGTGGCCGGACGAAGGAGGAATGCGAGGATATGATTCGAAGAAGCCTCCGAAGTATGGACACCAAATAAATTGTTTCCTTTTTATTCGTCTCGTAAAAATTTGGATGGTTTAGGGTTTAGGGTTTTACCAATTCTGTTCCTTTGCGGAATAATTTTTCAACTTTCTTTCGTTTTCTTACACTTTCTCAGCACTTCTCTGCGATCCAAGTGTCTGCTCTGAGTCTGGGTTTTTGGCTTTTCCAATGGGTCATTGATTCTATTTCTGTTTCTATCAGCTCCAATGGTGAAATTCCTGTTGGAGCATTTGGAGAAATCTGGATGCGGGATTGGGGATAAGTTTATTAAGGCTGTTCATTGCGATAAGCAGATCAGTGGCGGTTATGTTCGTGGTGAAGGGGTACTACCCATTTGTTTCCTCTCTTTATTTCCGCCTATGATTTTTAAGAATATTGGTTCATAGATTTGGATTTTTATATTGTCACTGAGAACGAATAAACAAAGTCTTCGGTAGTGGAAATGGATTTTCTGCAGAGCGTCTAGTTAGAAGTTGTTCTGGGTTCAACGATCAAGATGTTTTTTGAGAGGAAAAAGAAATAGACTGAATGATTTACCTTTCGGCATCCCCTGTCATTTATTGGGAGCTGGAAAGGATGAAGTCATTTCTCTCTCTCTCTCTTTTTTACATAATTTTGAAACTTTAGTTTAGATGATATTGCAGCAGTCAGCAGATCAGAAAGCCAAATGCCTCTGAATTTTTCCTAAAATTTTACTATTTCCTTTGTAATTGATATATTTTTATACCAAACTGTGATGGGGGTGATGAAATATGCTTGGACTTGAGAGTTAGAAAAGTGGGGGGTTTGAGACTGTTGGAGGCTGATTCTTTGCTGTTTCTAATTTTTTTCTGGTTGCCTCTTAGATAATGGTGTGTAGTAATCACATGAACATTCAAGATGAGGTCAACCAAGTCGTAATACACGAGCTCATTCATGCTTTTGATGATTGTCGTGCGGCAAACTTGGATTGGGCTAATTGTGCTCATCATGCTTGCAGTGAGGTATGCATCTGCAGTTAGCCATTAATTCCCAGGTTGAGTTTCATTTTTTCCAAAGGCTTACATTCTTTTATTTTGGTCTCTTGTTTTATTTCTCTTCTTGAGCTTTCCTAACATATGTATTTGTAATTTAGATTCGTGCTGGGCATCTAAGTGGTGATTGCCACTATAAACGAGAACTACTGCGAGGTTATGTGAAATTACGAGGCCATGAGCAAGTATGATTTTCTGTCACTCATTCTTTCAGATAGAATAATAATCTTATTCGTTCTCTTGTTGGCATATAAAAAATGAGCAAAAGTTTCCAGCCATCCACAGCCATCCACTCTATTTTTGAAACTTGAGTTCTCTGGCTGTTAATAATCTCATGCTTAAAAGGTGAATAATTTTCGTTTTCCCAAGTTATTTTGTTACATTAAAGAACTCTTTATCATTATAGAATCTTTAAATCCTTGTGTTTATGCTCATGATAACTTGGATCTGATCTTGGCCATGAACATAATTGTTTTATCCGTTCTTCTCCCAACCTCAATTGGCAATAGAGTTTTTAAAACTCAAGTATTGGATTTTCTCTAGGCCTTTGGATAAACTAGCTTAAAAATGAGCAGCAGTGAGAATAAAAGTTCTTCATAAAAGAAACATAATATTAACAGGACATTTTAAGAATGGTTCATTCTTGAAGCTGTGTTTTGCATTCAATTTTGTTCTTCCTTACCGGCCAATGTTTGGAAGAGATCTTGATTTGTTCAACCATGAATTAGTGGTTGCAATTAGGGGCTATTATAACTCCTCCCAGTGTAGATGTTGGAGAGGATATATATGATCAAGAGGGCGATGAACCCGTGACCGAACAATGTGTGGGTGTGTGATAATAACAAGATACAAATCAGTATTTAATATTCTTTGGCCAATAATATTATTACCTCTCTCTGTCACACACACCGCTTCATCTTCTTACCTGTGAGCATTTGATGCGATCCACTCTGTTGAGCTTTTCTGGTTGGCTTTCCATTGACACTCTTTTTTTCGATTTCTGAAGGAGTGCGTGAGAAGAAGGGTAATGAAATCAGTGATTGCTAATCCTTATTGCTCAGAAGCTGCTGCGAAGGATGCAATGGAAGCTGTCTGGGATGTTTGTTATAATGATACACAGCCATTTGATAGAGCTCCCTGAAAGATAATCATGGCCATTTCATCTACAGAGAAGAGAACACACAGCTCCAAATTTAATGGTGCTATGCCAGAAAGAGAAACATGTTTTTTGCCCCAGAATTTTGGACTGCATAAATTATAGAGTAAGTTCATTGTCTCGAGCAGTTTAACCGATTACGATCGATGATTTAATTTGGATATATAAACTCCCATTTTTTGCTTGCATCTGATCTAGTACCCTTTTCTAATACATAACTTGATGTATACTACTTAGTCATGTTGTTCAAGAAAATAAAACAAGATTCAACTTCTCTTTTAAATTGCTTTTTTCTTTTTTTTCTTTTTTTAAAGAAACCTGAGACATGTATTATAGAAAACTGACCACTGACAATCCCTCTACCTAGAAACAACTGAAGGATGATAATTTTCTATAATTTAGACATCATCGAGAAGAGGTGTGCTGAACGTATTTACAAAAAATATTTAAAGTAAAGTATTTATGTTCAAAAGTGTGACGGTTTCTTTGTATCGGAAGGTATCAAAGAAGGGCTCGAGCGGTGCACCTCCAAAAGAATCTAGCTTTTCTCACCAGCTGAAGATAACTTCAGATAACCTTACTTATTAGGTTAACTCTGTAGATGTGTGAGAATAGTTTTCTTTGCTTCATTTTGGTGGAAACAAGTTATTCAAATCCAATTTTTAAAAATGTATTTTTATCTAGAACTGGAATTGGTTTGTATTTTAAAATTTTTAATATCAAAATTTGAAAGATATTAGTATAAAGTACGGTTTAACAGCATAAAAAATAGTTGCTTGGAGCTTTTCATTCTCGAAATATAAATATTTAGTTTATATATTTGTACCAGAAATTATTATTGGATATTCAATCTATAATTATAAATAACTCTTAAAAAAACTGATTATGAAATAGTTCTTTTTTTCTTTTATAAATGGGAATGAGAATTAGTTGAGCTATGTCGATTATAAAATAATTAAAAAAAGTCTAAAAAGATTAATATTAATATACTTTTGTTTTCGTGGTTGAAAAGGCAAGATAAAGAGATGCGTGAAGAGCATAGTTTTAATTTGTAAGGTCGCCTCCCATTAAATACTCTTGCTCTTGTGTCTTTCATCCTTAGTGGCAATAGCAAGTGGGAAGAAATTGAAAACACCAACTGACCACAATAACTAGATGTCTTTTCTTACAAACGTTATCCAAGAATTTTTGTTAGTTACTACTTTTTAATTGAGAATTTTACCAATTAGTATAATTAATAATGATATCCTTCAATGGACGTGCAAAAGGTTGAATGATATTCACCCAAAATAGTTTTACATTGAAGAAGGGTTAATAATATTCAACAATATCATCGGGCTTGATATAGTCATTCGGGACTTTTTAATAGCTCGATTTTGGTCTTAGCTGAAATATTCATCACTTGACTTGTGTGACTGGAATCCAAGGTTGAAATAGACTCTTCCATAGTTTACAATTTGGTTATAGGGTAGATCATTGTGAAACAAAGTCAAAATAATCCATTAATAAAATCCAAAACTTATATCGGGAATGAGCTTTCAAAGGAATTCTCCTGTATATCTAGTATATAGTACATCAAGTATATCGGATATACCTCGTGAAAGAGTAAAATTAGAATAAAAAAAAAAAACAAAAAATAAGATTCAAACTATTTTACCATATTTGCAAATCAAAAAATTATTGTTATATTTGCCAATATAACAAAATAATTAGCTATCCATCAAATCCCCCGGGAGTGGAAAGAACAAAAAACCAGTGGTTATAATTAATAAAGAGGGAGGAAACATGGAAGATAAACGACATGTGCAAATTTTTGCAATTGAGGAGAGAGGTATTTGACAACATTCTTTTCCCCATTTTTTCAGTAAATGTGGGGATGAGGAACACCACCTTTTTGTTTCTATGTTTTAAGTCCTTGTATCCAAATTTTTGCTCATATATTTTCATCTCTTTTTATGAGAAAAAAATAAAAATCTAAAAAACTTGTTTCGTTGTTTCTCGTTTTTGGAACATACGGAGTAAATAAATTTTGGAAACAATAAAATTAAGTTTCATTTTTTTCCCTCATTTTTAGGGTTTTCCAAAACATTAAAAAAAACCTTGCTTTTTCTTATTTTTAACTTATTAAAATAGAGAAAATAATAAGCAAAACATTACCAAATGAGCCATGTTAGTTGTTACGTTGTTCCATATTTTAAATTGGATTAAGTTGGAAAAGAGAAAATGTTGAAGAAGCTATCATTTTTAAAAGGGGATTAGGATAAAATTGGATAGACAATAGAGAAACAAACTCTCTCGACAATGAAGGAAGAAAACTTTTAAGGCAAAATATGGATGTTAATTGCCATCTTAATTATCACGGCGTTCTATATCCTTTTATGTCAATTTTTTGTTCAAAATATTAATAGATTTTTTTAGCCAAATATTAATAGATTTTTGTTTAAAAGTATAAAAAAAAAAAACTTTTGGAATGATAGAATTATTTTTGAAACAGGAGTATTTTTTTTTTATAACTTTTGGCATTTTTATCCATTTTATTGATACATTTAATATCCAATATTAATAACCCAATTAAATACTAGCTATTATTTTTTTCTGTGTAGAGCATTAAATGTTTGTAAAAGTGTCTTCTAAATAATAATAATAAAAAAAAAATTAACCAAAGGATAGTGCTTCTTTCTGAAACCATTGAAGAAATAAAGCCATGACTTCTCAATTTCTAATACCAATCATTAATTTGTAATGAAATGGGAAAAGTATTGAATTCAGCAGCCATTGGCGCCAGATTCAAGTTGGGAAACTCCATAGAATTTCCAATTTCGAGACATGAAACTTGCTATTTTTAGTTTTCCCAATCACAACCATACCATGTCTCTCTCCGTTTCAGACCCAAAACAAATGTTGCAATAATTTTTCCACTTCAGCTTTAATCGAAGATTATGATCTGATCAGAAGCTCTGAAAAATCGTTAAAAAAAAAAAGCCCATTTGATTTGGATTTGGATTTTTGGATTGTGGTTCGTGGAGCGAAGAGCATAGAGTGGATCGCCAGATTTAACAAATGATGCACAGATGTGCTTTGTTTCTCCCGAAACGTGTATGGCAACTCCGCCCCTATGACTACGAGCTCTTTCATTCTCCACATTTCCCTTTATATTCTGTTTCTTCCTCCTCCATTGTATTCCTCCCCACTCTTCGTCGCTCTCTTCTCCATTTTCTCTCTCCTTCTTCTTCCTCCATGGCCCCTGGAATCGAATCTCGACACCCTTCTCTCAATGGCGATTCCCATTTCTCCGATGATGAAATTTCTCGCAAATCCAGAGTCACCGTCGTCGGCAGTGGCAACTGGGGCAGTGTGGCGGCCAAACTCATCGCCTCCAATGCCCTCAGGCTGAGCTCTTTCCATGGTATTTTTTCTTTCTGGAATCTTTAATTTGTGAATTCCTTTTGCCCCATTTTGAGAGAATCCATTTTGAGTATTTGGGGGTTTTTTGTTTTTCCTCCCCACCCCCTGTTGAATTCTAGATGAGGTTAGAATGTGGGTGTATGAGGAGACTTTACCTACTGGTGAGAAGTTAACTGATGTTATCAACCTCAACAATGTAATGTGTTCTGTTGATTTACGTTTATGTTTCCATTTCAGGAGTTTCAGAGCGTTGTTTATAAGAAATTCTTGAATCTTTTTTCGTTTAACAGGAGAATGTTAAGTATCTCCCTGGTATAAAGCTTGGGAAGAATGTTATTGCAGACCCAGACCTTGAAAATGCAGGTATTCAATTCGAGCTGTGTTCTGATTTCTTGATCTCATTCACATGGTGAATCTGCCATTTCTTGTGGCTCTAATGGGTTGAAATCTCAGTGAAGGATGCTAATATGTTGGTGTTTGTGACTCCCCATCAATTTGTGGAGGGGATTTGCAAGAGACTGGTTGGAAAGATAAGGAGAGATGTGGAAGCCATTTCCCTCATCAAAGGAATGGAGGTGAAGAAGGAAGGTCCATGCATGATTTCTTCCCTCATCTCCCAGGAACTGGGGATCAATTGCTGTGTTCTTATGGGGGCTAACATAGCAAATGAGGTACCGATTTGATAAAATTTTGTTTTCAATTTTTCTGTCTTTAAAAGTTAAGATCGTGAGATCTGCTTGTACCTGTGTTTAAAATGCTATTGAACAAAAATTATTCGAAACTATTTTTTTTTTTAGTTTTCAAAATTTGGTTGGGATTTCTAAAACTATTTTGAAATTAGATTAGAAATAAAGAAACATGTTGGTAAATAGAAAATTTTGGCATGCTTCGATAACCCTTTTGTTTTTTATTTTATAGTTTTGAAAATTAAGCTTATAACAATAACCATTACTTCACTTCTACTTGTGTATTCCTTTACCTTGTTATCAACTTTTAAAAAAATGTTCTTAAAATCTAAGCAGAATTTTGGAAAAAAAAAAGTCCAAAATTTTATTTTTGTTTTTAAATTTTAGCTAAGAATTCAAATGTGTTCAGAAGGGAAGTGTGAAAACTTACCAAAGAAATGGCAGAGAAAACAAGCCTAATTTTAGAAAAAGAAAACTAAAAATGAAATCGTTATGGCCTAAAATGGTGTTATACTAAGTTTGCTTGATTTAAAAATTTTCCGTCCTTTTTTTTAATCTTTATTTTAAGGTTGCTAAACTGTACATGCAGATTGCTGTAGAGAAGTTTAGTGAAGCAACAGTGGGATACAGGGAGAACATGAGAGAGATAGCTGAAAAATGGGTTCAACTTTTCAGCACTCCCTATTTTGTTGTTACACCTGTAAGTACAGTGCATTACCACATCTATCTTATTCAGCAATCACTTCCAATCTCAATTATGAATAGTTTGATACTGTTCCATGCTAATATATCACTCACAAATTGATGTATAGAACTAGGTTTTAGTCTTATTTTGGTTCTTTAATTTTTGTACTTATTTTATTTTGCTTCTTAAACTTTTAAAACAATCTATAAAGTTTAGTCTCTAAAATTTGCATAAAAATTATTCGTCTTTTATGATTAATTTTCTTTTGATCATTTAACACGAATCCCCATTCATTAGAAAATTGACACTTGACCTACTACATGTGACATGATAAAAGATGTTTTTATGTCAAATCTTTATCATAAAAAATAACGATAAGGATTAAAATGATTTTTGAACTAGATTGTTTGAAAGTTTAGAAACTAAAATAAAATTAGCATAAAAGTTTAAGGACTAGAATAGAATATTTACATAGTTATGAGAGACATCCTATAGTAGGAAGGCTGTAAACTTTCATGCAGAATATTGAAAGGAAAAATACACCTCAGTTTATTGTGAGCGATAGAATCGTAGTTTTATTTCAAATTGACTAGTGAAAGGCTTTCTTGTTACCCTTCTAATCGTGAACTATTGAAAGGTCCAAGATGTTGAAGGAGTTGAAATGTGTGGAACCCTTAAAAATGTTGTGGCATTAGCAGCAGGTTAATCATAAACCTTTATCATTTGGCTTCTCCTTTTCTGCTTATAATGAAGAACGGCCTTTAAATAATTTGATGTGACAGGTTTTGTTGATGGTTTGGAAATGGGAAATAACACGAAGGTACACAAATTACTTCTAAGAGTTCAAAAAGTAACTTACATGTGTTTATCATGTCTTGACCATTCATTTGATTGGAAAGGCTGCAATAATGAGAATTGGTCTGAGAGAGATGAGGATGATTTCCAAGCTGCTGTTTTCATCTGTCAATGATAGTACTTTCTTTGAGAGTTGTGGAGTGGCCGATCTGATCACAACGTGCTGTAAGAATAATTTTCCTCATTCAGTTTGTTCTTCTTCCTTTACACTCTCTCTTGTCACACTCAGTAGAACTAATGTGTATTTGCCAGTGGGAGGAAGAAACAGAAAAGTTGCAGCAGCTTTCGCAAAGAATGGAGGGAAAAGGTTAATATTGCCACTCTAAAACATGGATTTTATTTTTCGACATGGATGTTGAGTGTCACTATATGTAATTTTATTTTTACCTTCTCCCATTTTAGGTCTTTTGATGAACTTGAAGCAGAGATGTTGCAGGGCCAAAAATTGCAGGTTTTTACCTCACCGACATAATTGACTTATAGCTTTCATAAATGAACCATGGCTGATTGTTAATATTCATTTAGATATTTGAGGAAGAATATGTCATAGGATTAAAAGGGAAGCAAGATACTTGTTTCTTGCTAAAAAACTCACCCCTGATAAACAAATTCTTAGGACACCTATTTCTGGAAAATACAGAAGTTGATTTGATTGTATTCGTCCTCAAATCTAGTGGTACTCTTGTTACATTATCAAGAAAAATTCTTGTGGTATAATACTAACAGTTCATGTTACATTTTAAAGGGTGTCTCCACTGCAAAGGAGATGTACGAGGTTTTAAGTCACCGTGGGTGGCTGGAGCTGTTTCCATTATTTGCATCAGTTCACGAGATCTGTATTGGACATTTTTCACCATCAGCCATCGTCGAATATAGCGAGCGCAAACCCAACTTCTCTGTTATTGATGGTCATGCTCAATAATTTTAACAAGATTGGCTCACCTATTTCAGATGTAGTGTCTTCATGAAGGTAGTTTCATCTTGGACTGAAAAGTGCTCAATCGAATGGCGGGTAGGTTGCAGCAAGTTTGAGAGCTCGGCATGTGAGAGATCAAAATGCTGTTTTCCTGAGGCAGCTGAGATTCTCAAGACTTTTCTCTTTTCAGTTTTCAGATGTTCAAACGAATTTCCTATGTTGTTGGAAGATAAGACTGATTAGTGTAACTGTAAGGCTGTTAGCTGTTATACAGAAACATGTCATAATATCCAAATCTGTAAGTTTCTCCTTTAATGGAAATTGTTGATACACATGTTTTAAGAAACTCCTTTTCTGATTCATTCTCCAACTTTTTGAAATTTGATAAAGCAATCTATTAAGATTGCAATTCCAGTTATATTGGGCTCTTTGTTAATGATGTCAAGTTCCTCCACTCAACTCAGAAATGGGATAACAAGGCCATTCAGGAGCAAGAAGAATAATGTCAATAGCGACACAGCCAACAGCACAGGGCTTGGTGAGTAAACTTCTTAAATCTGCTCTAGATGAGGATTAGTTCCTCTATGTGACCACAAAGATTTATTTCACTGTAGATGATCTGAAATATTCATAATCATTTTCCATCTATTGTTGAATATTAAATTCGATGCTAATCGGACCAAAAAGCTCTAATGATCTTTAATTGGATTGATTTAAATTTATAAGAGCTTTGCTTTCATGGTAATGAAACAAGAACAATACAAGACACTAAATCCTTTTCTCATTTCTTGATAGTTAACTTTAAACTTTCAAGAGGCAAACTACACATCTTAAAGATCATAAATTATACATAGAACAGAAAAAACTTGTGAAATTCTTACTATCCCACTCCTGTTCCTGAATACAATTTTGCTATACCCAACAATTATCCGGTGTGTATTCTGTCAAGTCGATCAACACTCTTTCTTGCTCTTTCCAACTGGTGATCAACGCTTTTCCTAGACTTCTCGTGACAATCGACGCTCCTACGCGACCTTTCTTTATGGTCAACTGACATTCTCACTTTTTCTAATTTATCTGTATTACCATACTGGTTCTTCATTTTTTCAGGCGTGCTTTGCCTTGGCTTCTCTCTCCTATCTGTGCTCTTCCTTGAAACCTCGAAAAAATCCGTACTCTTTCGAGGTTTCTCAAGCTGGTCTGTGCTCTTCCTGGTACTGTGCCTGTGGGATGGGGATTTCTCCACCGTTGATACAAACTTTTTGAGGTGTTTGATGTAGTCAGGATAAAGCTCTAGATCACAATGGTTTCCTCCTTTAATCCACAGCGGTTCATACTTTTCTTTGCATAGCTCCCAGAGTTGCTTACCATGAGAGCAATCAACCACTTCATCTGAAGTGCCCTGGTAAAAGAGACAAAAATGATAACTTAAAACAGTAGTAATTCATTTCTATTAAAAAAAATAGAAGAAATATTCCCTACCTTATATTACATACATGATATAAGGTAACAAAGGTAAAGGAGCAGGAAAAAGACAAGTCATGAATGAAACAATGACCACTTTGTATCAACTATAGTTTTTTGGTATAAGGAAAATGACCATAAATATGTACAGGGTGTTCTTACGTGGATGATAAGGACCGGGCAATCGACGAGGGGAATTTTGTCAATATTCTGCACAAGAAGAAAACAGCACATTTCAGCATGTGAATGATGCATATGAAAAGACAAATTGATTAGTATACACATGAAGATTACAGTTGAAACAAAAAGGCTTTATTTTACCTTATAAATGTCAAACCAATATGAACGCTTGACTGGATACATAACTCTTAAACCAGAAAGTATTGGACTATGAAGGACTACAGCCCTTAAATGAGGCAGCCTAGCTGCAAGATCCAAAGTAGGGCCACTTCCAACTGATTGGCCATATAGAATGATATCTTCCTGCTTAGTACCATAGCTTTCTTCAAGACACTTGTATACAGCTTCGATATCTGCATATGTATTCTGCTCAGTTGGCTGCAATTTAGAAGAGCCATTGAATCTTGGATTAGAATCCATACCAACACCACAAACAATCTCAATTCAATCTAAATCCCTTATATCCAACAAACCTTTCCAGATGATTGACCATATCCTGAATAATCATACCTGCACGTATTCCCAAACTTTATTAGGAAGCTAGAAGTTTCGCCTGCAGTGATTTTGATAGGGGTTCATCATAGATCTCAAAAATCAATTCAAGAGTAAATTACGCGGTGGCTCATTGCCCCCTCCCTCCAGGAAGAACTTCATTAGTTTATTTAGTTTCAAGTTAACATGCCCCTATTACGGCCATGTTGAAGACGAAGAATGTACAAGATCCAGTTGAAGACCCACGTATTCTAATGAGAAGAGAAACGCTGAACCCGGCAAAGAATTATTATTCCTATAGTACTATGAGTGATCTACCTTATGTTTTCTTTCTCTACACCACAGCCGAAATGCAGGATACTGCTGCATATTCTCACCTAGTGTGCAGATTAAATTGATTATGAACCAGAAAATGAGATTTATGGTTGAGCATTCTGGAAATAGAAGGCTTGATGGCAATAAGGATCCATGAACTTTCAGCATTCTATGAGAAATATTGATAATAAGTTCCTGCTCAAATCTCTATGCTCTAGCTAGCCCAGTCCTTATATAACCGAAGATATCATGAGTCTAAGAATCAGATAAAATCTCCTCCGCCAAGTTAACTCAAGAGAGCTGAATTCTAGCATCAATAGTTTGGTTAATCAGGTAAAAACTGAACAACTAATTGACTGATTAAAATTGGCATTCTTGAACCTTGCTATCAGACAGAATCACAGTCAAGCCCCAAGTTCCCAAATAAATCCGCCGAGTTTTAAGAAATAGTAGGATGTTTCAAAAAATTCAGATGATCCATAGGCGGCAGTTGATCGCACGAACAAAGGAAAGTACCAAAAAATTAAGAAGAGAACAGAGTAGTACCCCATGAGATTAACGCGTAGGTGAATGCTTAATTCAATGAAAAGCTCGTACATCTGGCCGATATCAGCAGCGTTTCCATGAGAGTAAAGCAACGTAGAGGTGGCCATGGGGTAACGAATGAAGACAGCAACAATCTCAGTACCACGACGAGTGGGCAATTTATGAATTTCGACGTTTTCACGGTGAGGAAAGGGGCTGAGAAGCAAGAGACCGGTGTATTCATCGGCAACAAGTCTGTAGGAAGGCGGATTCGGCGGGAAGAAAGCGAGTTTCGCCGCCATGGACGAAGTAACACCGCCCATTTTTCTGGCCTCGATTATGCGAACAAAGAACCCATTCCTACGGAGAGATCAAGCAAATCAAAAAATAAAAAAGAACAACGAACCTCAAGGAATCCCTTTGGTGTGACGGCGCGAAATTAATAAACGATCGACATTCCGGGAATTTCCTGAGTTGGGATTTGGTTTTAGAAACATCAAAAAGAGAAGGGCAGAGAGATTGATGAGGTGGGTAATGGGTTCATAAATGGAAGCATGTGTGAGAGAGAGAGAAAGAGAGAAAAGGGTTTAATGGTGGTTGGTGGGTCAGAGAAGAGAGCGTGGACCAGTCGATCTCTGAGGCGTCGAAGATACAAAAGGAAAAAAAAAATGGTGAGCTTTCTTCTTCTTCTTCTTCTTCCTCACTGAAATTATGGCAATCATGGCCTTTATTACTGAAACTTTAAACTTCAATTCATCTTTTGAGAGAGAGAGCGATTTAAGGCGATTCTTAAATTCATGTACTGCTATTGACCGTTTTGATTGTTCTATTTTCTGTTTCAAACGGATAATTGTAAGCTTAAACCTTATCTTCATCTCTGGTTCTTCCTATTTTAGCCACTTTGATTAATTTTTTCGGCTGATACTAATCATTAGCTTTTATTTTATTAACCTAAATCTTGGATTATCGTGTTCAAACCTTTTCATTAATGTGGTCTAAAACAAGCCCCGTGTAGTGTCATGGGAGATTTCTTACTGTTTAGAATGGAGTATTTAACATAGTTATCAAAATAAAAAAAATAATAATAAAAAAAAGGAATGGATTTAACATAAAGATTAAATTCTCATGCGAGGTTTAGTGATAAAAGTAATATATAAGCGTCAAAGTGAAATTAATGAAAAAGTTATACAATATCAAAAAAAAATTAAGATATTATTATTGGGTCAATTTGAGTATAGTGGAAATTGGACGACATGTATCTCCAACCAAAAGGTTGAAATTTACACATACCTCACATGTTGTTTATAAAATAAAAAAAAATTAAATCAAAAGTTCAATCTTTCCCTTATATTGTTGTACTAAAAATATATATATACATTTTTGTCGTTGTTATCATCTATTTGAAAGCAAAAGAACAACTAAAGAGAAAAAAATGTCAAATTATATATTTTTGTCTTTGGAGTGAAATACACCTTCAATTCTTGAGGTTTAGAGGAGATGTTTATTAGTCCAAATTTCAGCAAACACTTTTGATTTCTGAGGTTTGTAAAATGGTTCTAAATGATCCCTAGACTACTCACTTAACTTGGGACCATTTAACTAATTAATTTGACAAAATATATTAATTTAATAATATCATTGTGATATCTCTCTTTCCGTCTTCTTTTCCTCTCTCCTTCTCCCCTTCGACGAATGTTACCGCTGCTGACTATTTCTCTCCTTACCTACCACCCATCCTTGTAGTTGTGCTACTGTTATCGACAACATTACCTCGCTCAAATGATATAGTCTATTGGTGATAGATATCTATCCAGAGCCGTAAATGAGTGGAAGGTAAAAAAAGAATTATATAAAAATGATAAAACAGGAGTCCGAAAATTTTTAGAATTTTATTTTATTTACAAAATCATATTTAGCAATACTACATTGTGAATTGCCACCCATACAAAAAAAATTTGTGAGATTATGGTTGAATTGCATAAAGCGATTCAAAGTTAGGCAGACATCCAACACTAGCTTCTATGTATTAAAAATAATTTCAACACTATCTTCTGCCAATTTCGCTAAAATCTAATAGCACATTTAGCATAA